AAAAGCTATTAGAAATTGTTGTTACAACTCCTATGTCAACATCAGAGGCTGAGCGAAATTTCTCAACGTTGAAAAGAATCAAGACCATTCTTCGAAATATTATGACTCAGGATCGCCTTACAGCGTTGTCGATGCTGTCCATTGAAAAGGAATTTACTTCGACTATAAAAAATTCCAACGGGAAGGTTATCGAAAAATTTCCTGCCAAGAAGGTGCGCAGGATCGAACTGACATATAAAAAATAAGTATGTTCGGATTTGCGGAACACCTGTTTTATTTTGCCACGAGCCGCCACTGCCTTACAATACAAGTTTATAGGAAACTTATTTGTTTTTCTACTGGAGATAATATGACAGAGATGTAGTTTTTAGGCAGTAGATGTTAAAAACAGATTTTTGCGACAGGGCCGTATTATGCAGGCTATATGGTACTAGCGAGTTTGTTTAAAAATCCTGCTAGATACCCAAAATTGGCAATACTCTAAGGATAGACTATCCTCAAGCTTAAATATATGAAAAGAAGTTATCACTATTTCATATATACCAATGTTGTTGATTCTGCTCGTAACTATTGATTTCTCTATACATACTCAAACTCTAGTACCTAAATATCGTATTTCGCAAAATGTTTCGAAATTCAAATGAAAGATCTGCTAATTGACCACCTTGAGTCGAACAGCTTATTAAACAAGAACCAATAAGGCTTTAGGAAAACTGAATCTGTCCAAAATAATTTACCTCATTCGTAACCTGAAGGATCAAGTATCACATAAAAAAGTTACCATGCATATTTTCACTCGAAAATGACTTACGTGGTTTTAATATGGGGACACTCCCCTAAATGCAAAAAGTTGACCTAAGGTACAGAGATCCGTGTAAATACGAATTCGTCAAATAAAACATTTAATAAGTTGCCACCTGTGGTAAAATCATTGGATGTTAAAATTTTCTATTAAAGAATTAAAATGTTCCTCCTTACAAAATCTTTTTTCTCATTGGAGGAATTCATGAATGATGTGATATGATATGAATGTTTGTATGCAAATATACAGTAGGATTAATGATAGTACTTTTTAAATTCGATTTTTCGTTATATTTCTTTGTTATTGTTAGTAGATATACTAAGTGACATATAAATCCGAACACCCACCCAGTTTAAATGGTTTTATTTTAATAAAAGTTGGTGAATGTATTTATGTTACTGTAAATAACAAGTGAAAAAATTTTCAGCCTTATCAGTTGGACATTCCGGTTTTTATACTGCTTTTTTTTAATTCACTAACGCTCTAAAAATGAATATTTCAGCCGCAGTAAAGAATCAACGTTGGCGGATTTTGGTTCTTGACATCCTTTACGATCGGTTACGATACCTAGAGTACGGAGACCTGTACGATTTCGTCAACTTAGTGAGTTTGATAGGGGCCGTATAGTGGTACTTCGGGAAGCTGGACTTTCTTTTCGGGCAATTGCAGTTAGAGTGCAAAGAAGTGTAGACACTGTGGTTAGGTGTTGTCAGGCATGGCTTCGAGAAGGCCGTACGCAAAGAGCAAGGGGCACTGGACGCCGCCGTAGAACAACAGACCGTGAAGATCGCCGCCTAAGATTATTGGCCTTAAGGGACCGTTTCTCCACTACCAGGTCCATTGCAAATGAATGGTTTGCAGAACACGGAAGACCTAGTGGCATGCGAAGTGTTTACCGACGAATGAGAAGTTTTGGCTTGTTTTCATACCGACCACACTGGGTCATCCCTTTAACTCGAGAACACCGACGTAATCGCCTTGAGTGGTGCAGACAACGGTCACTCTGGGATCAGGAATGGAACAGTATTCTCTTTAGTGACGAGTCTCGATTTTGTTTAGGCATGCACGATGGTCGTGCCAGGGTTAGAAGGCGACGTGGTAAAAGGAGGAATCCACAGTTTTTTGTTGAAAGACATGTTCATCACACTGTTGGAGTTATGGTTTGGGGTGCTATAGCTTATGGTTCCAGGTCACCTTTAATCTTCATCAGAGGTAACATGAACGCGCAGCGTTATATCCACGAAGTTCTAGAACCCCATCTTTTACCCTATCTTGACACCCTGGCAGATCCAACTTTCCAACAAGATAATGCCCGACCACATGTTGCAAGAGTCACAATAGACTTCTTTCAAGATAATGATGTCACATTGTTACCATGGCCACCAAGATCTCCCGACTTATCCCCAATTGAGCACGTGTGGGATATGATGGGTAGGAGATTGCTCAATTTGCAACGTCCTCCTCAGACTCTAGAAGCACTTCGAGAGGAGTTGGTGGTTGCCTGAAATGAGATACCACAGGAGGACATTGACCACCTGATCAGAAGCATGCCTAGGCGCGTTGGAGAATGCGTAGCACATCAGGGTGCATCCACACATTATTAAAGGTCAAAGGGCTTTAAAGCAGTGCAATCATTTTGAAATTTTTATCATTTACTTATGCTTCATTAAGTACTTATACAAAATTTTATTAAAATAAAACCATTTAAACTGGGTGTTCGGATTTATATGTCACTTAGTATAGTTATAAGTAGGTATCAAGAGTGGTTAGGTCTCTTTCTAAGAGCATAACAACTACATGTATGTTTCTTCGCGAATGTCTGCGTTGTTCAAATTTTTTTTGAGATCTTCATTTGCCATATATTTTTAGTTTATCTACTTCATCGGTTATTTGGCTAATTCTAACTTATTTGTGTACTTATTCGGGCTCTGCCCCCCAGTGGTTAAGTAGAATAGCTATTAGTCAGACCTCGCCACTGGTATTGTATCGTAATTTCTTTCTTGGTGAAAATCGATAAAGACGGTTTATTATTATCATATACATTTTCTAACTAGAAACTAGGCAGGTACTTTTAACAATGTAAAATTTGTTCTAGTGCGTTAATTTTACATACGCGGATAATAGCTAGTAAAATATAAAAGTATCTACCCTGTACGTGGTCTCCAGTCTCTGAGGCATGCATTGTGCTGGGTCCAAAGGAGTTGCATGTACAGAGTACTCTCTACCAGTGCATCTGCGGCAAGAAAATTTAATAAAAGGGCGGACACATGTATGCGAATAGATATGACGGAATTTATTACTTTTCAAGATGGAAACTCCTCAGGTACCTTTGGATACGTTCGGGAAAAAGTTTCTTGGCATCAAATACCAGCACGATATATCGTTTGTTACCCTGTTATACAAGACGTTAGAAGAATCGAATTGTACTCTGTAAGTTTCAGATGATGACAAAAGTGTGGAATGGAAATGGCATTCAATATTTTTTATTAAAAGACGGCTACGTAGCAGAGGCAATTTTCAAGTTACACAAACATTTTAAATGCTTTCCCATTACAACTGACGAAGTTTTATAATTGTGGAAAATTTCGCCTCTGTAATATCCGAAAAAATAGTCCTGGAAATATCTTCGCATGTGACGAAAATATTGTGATTCCGATTTTTCGCATAATCTTATTCAAAATTAGCCCCTTTTAGCGAATCTGAATGACACCAGGCCCAAATTTGCGTCAAAAAATGTTTAAGCAAATCCCGAAAATAGTTTTTCGCTCCGGTCAAGCTTTAGAACTTGACGGTTTCCGAAGCAATATTAGAAAAAGTGCGAAATATATAATTTTCAACCCCGAAAAACAATATTGTTTTAATTGAAAAATCTCGAAGCATTTCAGGACGTAGTGTAAAGGTTTACAATAACAATGCCTCCGCAGCTGCTTTGGAATTTTATTAATGGATGTTTGAAGAATATTCAGAAACATAGGAATCATTAAAATTTCCGTGTTTTCAGATTGTTTTTCCGGGTCGAAGATAGCATATTTCGCACTTTTTCGAATATCAAACTATCAACTTTACACAAAAATTCCAAGGTACCTTTTCAACTTCAACATGTGTCTTTTACAAAAATCAGTGATGTTTGCAAGATCACAATTTATCTTATATGACACTTCAACCAGATGAGACAAGTCAAAATGAAAAGAAAGCTGCGTATCATTTGCGTAAGTTTGTATAGCACAATGCTCAAAACATGAATGTAAATCACAAGTATATATCAAATACAGTAAAGGACCTAAGACAGCACCCTGAGGGACACCTGAAGAAACGGCAACAGAAGATGAGACACCTCTAGCTGTCTTCGCCATTTGTTTGCGATTAGTTAAGTAATTTTCAAAAAATTTAAGCGGAGTGAAATATAGATTTAGATACCTGCAATGAGCAACATAGATTACTTATTGTTCCTTATTCATACATAAGTAGTTTTTATACAAGGTGGCCCAACGAATGCACATCAAAAAATAAAAATCGTGGATAACAGTAAGAACATTTAGCATCAGTCAGAGTCATCGTATATCATATGTCATTCATTTCAAAAAGTTAAGGTACCTACCTAGTTGTGATAAATATTGAACAATGACTTATTCAATTCAAGAAAGGGTAGAAATAACAAAACAGTATTACCAAAATAGGATCATTGGAATAGCTACTGCCCGCGGACATCCGGACAAAAATATTAACGATAAGTATGTGGCTAGATTGATGAGAAAATTTGAAAAAACTGGATCAGTGTCTAATATTCGGCGTAATCGCAATCGAGAAAATTCACCAGTTCGAAATGAAGCCGCAGAAATAGCAGTTTTGGGACATGTAGCATTTGACAACATCATTACGAATATTTCATGATTGCCTTTAGCGTAACATTATATTGCAATGCTGAAAAGCACTGCTAAGTAAATTTACAATGTTCTTATGTGTAAAATGTATCCTTAATAGTAATTACAAGTGTATTTGCTCTTATAATTTATAAAAACTGCTCACGTACCAAGAAAAAGCATTGTACCGTATCTTACTATGATTATACAGTAAAAAGCAAATTTCTGTTGAAGTTGCTAACAACTGGAATGGCTCTCCTAAAAAGTTTTGTCACTCCACAATGTTATTAGATGCATGTATCGATATATAGATTAAAAGTTTATCTGCTTTTTGTAGTTGACAGTTTATAATATAAAGATCATTTATCAGTAAAATATTCTACCTAACTGATAAGTCAATCCAGATATTATGATCTATTATCAACAGAAAGATTATCTGTGATCCTAAAAAGAAGATTAAGCCGAGATATGATATGTATTCATTATTTGTATTTCGTAAAAGTGTTTGTGAATCAGTCAAGATGCGGTTAAACAAATTATTATTTACTTATGCTTGTTTTATTTTCAAAATAAGATACGTGGAAAGCTCAGGCGAAAGTGTTTTGTGTACGAAAACTGTGTGTGATAGGGTTAGTATACAATGTGTCTGAAATTAATTAATTAAAGTGTCGCCACCCAATAACATAAAGTTGGTAAAACGGGTAAAGCACAAGTGTTAGGTTTCAGTCATTTTTGGGGCCAACTCGACTTTGCAATTTTGAGTTATGAATAAAGGCAAATATTACTAAATTCGTAAAATTGATACTCAGCGGCCAGAGATCACTTTTTGTGAAAGAGTACCTGCCCCCAAAACTCTTTGAAGAGGTGGCAAACATTTCCGGGGAGGACGCATCCTAAAACACCTAAAAATTGAACACAAAAGCTTACTAAATATGCACGTTTTACGGTCCAACCGGAATCCTCGGGAAGGCTGTTGCCCACGTGCCCCACTCCCCCTTGCGGGCGCTCATGGATATTTAATATGTCAAGATTACTAGAAATACAATACTTTTTCACTAGGAAATCGCCGTTATATACCGCACTCCCCTAAGAAATTACATTTCTCCCCCTAGGTAAGTAACGTTAATTTTTTTTTTTATACTCCAACTACCACGAAGGCCTAAGGCCTAAGCACCCATTGGGTACCGTGGGGCTATGGGGGATACATGGGAAAGGGGGGACGCCACACGGACTCTGGCGAGGGAACACGTGTGCATGCAACATGCACACATTCTGGCTCCGCCTACGAGAACCGCCGGGTGGTACCTCCGCGTTAATGAAAAAATTACTAGATAAAAAAATGAATGTATGCATTCATGTCGAGGTCCTTTAGCTTGATGGATAGAGTCATTGCTATTGAACCCTCTTTCCATTTTTGAGTATTTCTAATGAATAATTACACTGAACAACAAATTTTAGTTTTTTAATTGTATCTTGTGGGAAAAGTGCACTTCTTTGTTAATTTTGGGGCGCTGAATCCAAAAATGACAATGAAATAAAAAAATTAGTTGCGGTTTAGAAAAAAAACTTTTTATTTTTAAGTATATATTAAAAAAAGTAACAAGATTCATGTACTTATAAGAATCACTATATGCGCTGTCTTTTTGCTGTTCTTTTATGGATCGTTTCTGGAGCATCTCTACCAAGAGTCCAACAGTAGTCTGCAAGCATGGAAGGATTCCACTTTCCCTGGTACCTTTTTTCCATTGTTGAAATATCCTGATGAAAACGTTCGCCGTGCTCATCACTTACGGCTCTGCAATTGTCAGGAAAAAAGTCCAGGTGTGAGTGTAGGAAATGTATCTTAAGAGACATATTACAGTCCATCTTTTGATACGATGACAGCATATTTTTGATAAGGGTTTTATAGTTGTCAGCTTTTCTATTTCCCAAGAAATTAGTGACCACCAGACGGAAATCATTCCAAGCAGTTTTTTCAATACCTGTTAAAGTGTTTTCAAACTGTGTATCTTTCAAAATGTTTCGAATCTGTGGCCCAACAAAAATACCTTCTTTAACCTTTGCCTCACTTAGTCTTGGAAATTTCTGACGCAGGTATTGAAAAGCTGAACCATCTCTATCTAATGCCTTGACAAAGTTTTTCATTAGGCCCAACTTGATATGCAGTGGTGGTAATAAATTTTTTTTCGAATCTACTAATGGCACATGCTGTACATTTTTTTGACCTGGCCAGTTTTGTCTGGTGTAATGAAGTGCATTTGCCCGACTGTCCCATTCACACAAAAAACAGCAAAACTTTGTGTAGCCTAGCTGCAGCCCAAGTAAAAGTGCAACAACTTTCAAATCGCCACAAATATGCCATTGATGTTCATCGTATTTTATCCATGTCAATAGGTACTTCATATTGTCATATGATTCTTTCATGTGAACTGCATACCCTACAGGAAGATATGGTAAAATATTTCCAATATGCAATAACACTGCCTTTAAACTCAATGTTGAACTGTCTATAAACAATCTCCATTCTTCTGGGTTATAGTTTATATTTAAAGGCGCCAGTAAGCCATTAATGTTACTGCAGAAAACCGAGTTATTCTCCATATTGAAAAATGGTTCTAAGTCTTTGTGGCGTTTACGAAAAACACATACCGAAACATCGTCTTCTAACAAGTTCCACTGCTGCAGTCTTGATCCAAGTAACTCTGCCTTACATTTTGGAAGTTCTAAATCTCTTACAAGATCATTTAATTCTGACTGTGTTACTTTGTGCGGTTGGTGGCATGACGTGCTTGGTATAAAATCCGGATCTCTTGACGTTGATGGCATATCTTCTTCCTGACGAATCACTCGATCGCCATGATCTGATTCGTTTTCTGATTCGCAAGTGTAGGATTCTGGGGGTTTTGGAATAGGATTTTCGTCACTGTGAGGCACAGGTCTCATCGCAGATGGTATGTTTGGGTAGTTAATAACCTATTTTTTTTCTTGGATATACCTGTGGCTTGTCCAACACAAGGTACCATGCAAAAGTAACAATCATTAATATGATTTGTAGGCTCTCTCCAAACCATTGGGACAGCAAAGCGCATAGACCGTTTTTTGCCATTTAACCAGCTCCTCAGACTTGAAGCACATGTATTATAGTTTACAACCGAAATAAAGCTGATATGCCTTTGTTATTAGTGGAGTAGTAGACCGTCTCTGAGACGCAAAAGTCACATTACTACACACGTAACAAAACTGATCTGGATTGTTTACACACTTTCGAGACATCTTGCATGAACGCTGTCAGCCAACTGAGGAAAAAATGGCTAATATATACGTAAAACAATATAATGTATACGTATGTATAACGTAACACAATCATGCCGATTACATCATCTTTCCTTGCCGAATATAAAAATGTAGCACGTGCATTCTTGTGAATTACAGTATATTAACACTGTCACAGCAGGAACACATATAATTACCGTATCTCTAAAACTTGAACTAATATTGAAAAAATAAGTTTCATTCCGGTTTTAGCACATTAAAAATAGTAATATTTTGTTGATTTTATTTAGGATATTTTTTGGCTGTTGATCAGTGTTATTGTTTGTTACAAGTCAATATAGAGTGTATTTTATAAGTGAAATTATTTATTGTTGTTGATTATATGGCTTATCCCTTCTCTTATTTTGATAGCTTGAAAGTCCTATGCTACTTGATAAATTGACGAATTTGAAAGGGGAATGTGTAGACTCATCTTCTATGTTTGTCGGACTCTATCTTGTAGCAGCAGGTAATGGAGACATTTCGTGTGCTTAATTCAGACAGTGTTGCCGGACATTCAGAAAATTGTCAGATATATAATACTTTTATTTTATTCATAGTATGTTAGACTATTTCCTAGTAATGGACATTACTTTACCCTTGCTGAGATTAAGCATCAAATCATTATTTTGGCACCAATCAAGAATGCTGTCTAAATTTTCCTGCAACAGGTCTAAGTTAGTAGTGAAAAAAAGATTATACAGGGTGTTCCTTAATGATATGCGAATAATTAAGGGTGTCAATCTACATGAAAAATTAATGTTAGTTTGCTTCATAAACTATGGTCCAAAAACGTTTCCTTACAAAAACTCGTTTTAGGAGAAAATGGAAATTAATTAATATTTTCAGAACCGCTTCAGATATTTCACTGACATTTAGTACGTAGTGAAAGTTAATGAAGTTGCATATTTTTCAATGCAAAAATAATTTTTAGCTTTAACAGTGGCGTGCGTACGGGTAGTGACTTTGATATTTTGTGAGAAAAAAATGGTACGTCAATGGTTTTTTGACAAATAAAAATTATTTTTGAATTCCCCGTTCAATTTAAAACATATGATCTCTTTTGAGTTGTTTTCCTTTGATGCGCCATTTTTGAGTAAAGAAATAAAAACCGTTCTATTGTCTAACTTGCAAAATTATTATTAATTTAATTGGAAAAACTGACACATTAGGGGTATTGAACAACAACAACTGACTACATAAACATAACATTAAAACGAACGAAATGATTACAAAAATTGTTGAAAATGGCCCCCTTCACTTAGTATGCATGCTTCCGCCCTCCTTCTCATGGAACTGCGCACTCGTTGAAATATCCCTGGAGTGTTTTTTATTCTATCACAAGCTGCAACTATTTCTCTTAATTCCTCTACAGTGCTAATGGGACTTGTGTACACTAGTGACTTAAGATAGCCCCACAAAAAGAAATCTAAACTGTTGAGGTCTGGGGACCTTGGTGGCCATTCTTAGGGTCCACCGCGGCCAATCCAACGATTTGGATAAACAGTTTGTAAATAATTACGAACCGCTACACTGAAATGCGCTGGTGCACCATCATGCATGTACCACATATTGTTTCTTATTACTAACGGAACATCATCAAGCACCAATGGCATACTGTTGTTGAAGAAAATTGAGGTAAGTCTGACCGTCAAGTCGTCCCGTCAAGAAGAATGGGCCAATAAAGTGGTTGCCAATAATTCCTGCCCATACGTTAACCGGAAATTGGTGTTGGAAATGGGTTTCGGTTACGGCATAGGGATTGTCTTCTGCCCACAAATGATTATTGTGGAAATTCTGAATGGCATTTCGAGAAAACTTAGCTTCGTCCGTGAACAGAATCATTGATTCAAATTGCGGATTTTGTGTAATTTTTTGAAGATACCACTGACAAAAGGTCACACACCTTGGAAAATCAATGGGAAATAATGCCTGTTCGTTTAAAATATGGTAAGGATATAACAAAAAATCCACTAAAATTCTCCAAACAATTTGATGGCAAATATTTAAGTGTCTAGCGATCTTCCTTGTACTCGTTTCAGGATGTTCTTCGACTTCGTGCAGCACTGCTTCCTCAATTTCAGGTGTTCTCACACTTAGAGGTCTACCTTCAGATTTTCCTTTTCGTACAGAACCAGTTTCAACTAGACGACGATAGATATTAGAAAAGGTTCGACTATCTGGCAAAGCACGATCGGGATATCTCTGGTGATAAATCCGTCTGGCTTGCTCACCATTACCGTCGCCAAGGCCATATACGTAATGCATTTCCGGCATTTCTGCATTTGAATAATTCACCATTATTAACAAGATTGTAATAACTAAATAATGAAAAAGATTTCACAGCGAACAGATTTGAATAACAGAGACTTGTCAGATGTCAAAAGCCAGTGACATATTCCAGAGCAGCTAGATATTTATTGCTAAATTGCATTCTTCAATTATTACATTAGTTTTCTCGGACAATAGAACGGTTTTTATTTTTTTTACTCAAAAATGGCCCAGCGAAAGAAAGCAACTCAAGAGAGATCATTTGTTTTAAATTGAAAGGGGAATTTAAAAATAATTTTTATTTGGCAAAAAACCATTGGCGTACCATTTTTTTCTTAAAAAATATCGAAGTCAATACCCATACGCACGACACTGTTAAAGCTAAAAATTATATTTGCATTGAAAAATATGCAACTTTATTAACTTTCACTAAGCACTAAATATCAGTGAAATATCTGAAGCGGTTCTGAAAATATTAATTTACTGAAATTGAAAGGGGAATTTAAAAATAATTTTTATTTGGCAAAAAACCATTGGCGTACCATTTTTTTCTTAAAAAATATCGAAGTCAATACGCGTACGCACGACACTGTTAAAGCTAGAAATTATATTTGCATTGAAAAATATGCAACTTTATTAACTTTCACTACGCACTAAATATCAGTGAAATATCTGAAGCGGTTCTGAAAATATTAATTTACTGCCATTTTTTCCTAAAACTTCAACACCCCGAGTTTTTGTAAGGGAACATTTTTGGACCATAGTTTATAAAGCAAACTAACATTAATTTTTCATGTAGATTCACACCCTTAGATATTCGCATATCATTAACACCCTGCAATAACGGCATATTTCTCCGCCAAGGTATGTATTTTACAGAGGCAACCTTTTAGCACCCCTGTTTGTAAAAAGAGATCAAAGGAATGTCTCTATCAACGTCTCCTACTCGTTGACTTCCTCTAGAACCCCTCCATCATCCGCTGTGAGTCCCACTATGACAGTGATTGGCGCGTTTCGTCGGGGTGGGTGGAATCGTGTAAAAAGTAATACCAATATTATTTGTGTTTTCAGGAAGTGAAATGCGAACCAGTATCGGGAATTTGCAACCACCAGAATGCAACTCTTAGGGGCATTTCCTTCCCATCGCCCACAACATGCAACTGTTGCGACGACTACTGTTTAGAATATTTACGTAAGATATTTTTCTTTGACATTGATCACCAAAGCAATACTAACATGTTATTATTGGGGAACTTCAAAGTTTAGAAGCATACTAATAATAATGGCTTTGTCGGAATACAACGCTGGTTCGTGCTTATTGGCAATCATCGGTACGGTTTAGGTTTTTAGGTAGGACAACAAACGAAAGCAGAGAAGAAAAGTGACCTCTATCCGAGATATGAAAACTCATGTCTTAATTTAATAGGAAGCTAGGTCAAAAACTCGATGTCACTTATCCAATCAGATTGGGTTTTATTTTCTAAACTTTGTGCAGATGAAGGTGATAGCTGCAGCGCGGGAAATCCATCGTCGCAACCTGTGACCAAGATGTGTGGCCCAGGACTTGCATGCCAAACACCATCTGATGCAGACGATGATGGTATTTGTTCAAGAAGTAAGTAGAAAAGACCCAGGATGACAAGCTGACTTGAAACTAAGCTACAACAAAATTACATAAATGGATCTTAAGCAGATGTATTGTATAACTCACACGGGGTATGATATGACTTACAAATTAGAAAGTGTTCAAGTTTACGACGGAATCTCTTTAAATTGTTGATTTTCTTAATAGCATCAGAAAGTTAATTGTAAATTTTCACGCAAGAATAAATTATTTAGTCTTTCACAAATGTTGATTTAAGTACTATAAAATCTTGTTGTTGACTGTTATCGTAAATAATATTTGATATTTCAAACTTTTTATAAAAATAAGTGTTGCTGTTTCTAATAGTGAACAATGATACAACAGTCGTTATTTTGAGATTTAGAAATAAAGGCCTTAAGGCGGCTCCGACGCAGTGAGTTTCAAGCCATTTACAAGGGTTCAGCTGCTTCAAAACTGGCACTCCACTTTTCAATATTTTTGATTGAAATTCATACAGTATGTTGAGAAGATAATGACCCAGGGTGCTATAGAAGCACTTTTTGAAATTTTGTTTTTGCACAAGTTTTATAATGGGTTAAAGTGCGTACTTTTTCTGTTCAACTTCGCGATTTTTTTAAAAAGAACCTAGTAAAAAAAATGAAAAAGTGGCTCCATAGCACCCTGTGGGGTTTTGTTTTCAGCACTCTGAAAATTTCATCCAAAAATATCAAAAAATAAAGCGTCAATTTCGAAGCGCGCAATCCTCTACAAATCGTATTTGGGATGAATTTTGTCTACTGTTTCGTGCTGCCAACCCAAGCATTGCGGCGCAATGTACGGACTAAGAAAGGACGTATTCAGATAACCTGGTGGCCCTATTTCATATAATATCGCGTAGATAAGTCGTTCTGCAAATAGGTACTCATAATCGCGATCGCTGATACTCCTCGATTTTAAAGCCGTTTCTCTTCCCACGTCATTGGCGAGGAAGTATTGTAATCGCGAAAAATTTCTAAAATGAGATGTTATGTTTTTTAAGTCATATGACATCTACATCACGAAAAACTGTACCACTCATCAACTTGGAAACAACCGCTCGGATTTTTATGAAATTTCCACACGGGGTTACTAGTATGCCAAAGCTTTGTAGTTTTAGTCCAGTGGCGACGGTGCAAAAAAGAAAAAGTAACAATTGCTGAAACTCCGTTTTTGACATTACAGGGGTTCCTTATCATTGACAGAAAAAAATTGTACTGCTTAAAAAGTGGGGGTTGGGGGAAGGTGATTCTGTATGTTGCATCTTTGATATCAGTGAAACACGTTCTATTATTAAGAAGCTTCTGATCCCAGTGATTACAGGAAATTAAAGTAACGAAAATCCGACGAATAATGTGCTCACGATTTGAAAAAATCGGTACCTGCTCTATAGATTTGACACCAAGAGCCAACAGATCTATCTGCAGCTGCCGACAGTAATGAAGAATGAATTCGGATATCACTCCAGTCAAGTATAGGGGAATTTAGCGTGGAACTTTAAAATTATCGATATGTCAAGAAAATACGTTTTTGAGAACGATAATTTGGTAGATTTTATACCTGCATTTTTATTTGAATTTCATGAGCCGTGAAATGTACCCATTTCGCCGTTACGTTCAATTTGTGTTCTGCAGTTTGTGATGCTTTTCTGGATATAAGCAGGACATAATTGCCTAAGGTGCTATCAGAGTGTTTTACAAAATTTTGTCTTTGCGCAAGAATTATGGTGGGTTGAAATGCTTATTATCGAATTTGTGCTCAACTTCTTGATATTTTAAAAAGATCCTAATGGATAAAATCGAAAAAGTGGATAGTTAGCACCCTGTCGACTTTATTTTTAGCACGCTGCAAGAGTTATTTGGAAATAAAAAATGAAACGTAAGCTGTGAAGTGAAAATCGGTTTTTGGGCGAAATTCCAGTCCAAGCGACGCGACGGTGCGTTCCGAGTAAGAAAAAATATATTCAAATAATTTGATATCGTTCTTAAAATAAATTCAAGAACTCAAATTACAATTCGTTTATTCATGTCAGTAAACACAATTATGTTTACAAGGGTCATGTGGTACATGGTAACAAGTGAATGAGAGTCATACAAAATATCTTATGCCGTCAAAATAAGAGGAAACAGTTAGGTAGTTTTTGCAAAGCAATAAACAGGTAGGCTTATAACTGGATTAAGTACATTTTTTGTCTACTGTAATAGGTAGATGGAGGCGATGCTGCCAGAAATGGATGTGTGCGATCAATAAACAAACCACAAGACTGAACTGCGGTGTCCAATGATTTTTGTATTGCCTTTCTTTATTGCATTACTACAAAGCTCTGTTGGGTATATGATGGAGTTTAAAGAACTTTACAGCTTGCTGTCTGCCTTCTTCTACAAACTTCATCAAATCGAGACGCTGTCAACCTTATCCTCCGATGAATGCGCGACAAAGTACAGTCCTGTGATTTGGTGACTCTCGTCGTCACTTTTATCAAGTTTCCCTAAAAATGTTCGCTTAGCAACCTCCAAATCAATGTAGTTAATGTCAGGTTTTTGATTGAATTCGCCATAAAACTATTCATTTTCTTTGGAATTGCTATCCGAATTGTTGGTTATTTTTATATCAGCTTTTTTTGGTCTTGATCCATCTTGGCGATAAGCGAGGTTGGACTAAGCTTAGAACGCAAATGTATTTAGACCACATATACTGGCCGCTGGGTATTGTGGCTCACTACAGCTGCAGCACATCTTCCATGGTATGACCTCTTCTTGCAATAATTTATTCGCTAACCCAATGTATTTTGCTCCACACTATTGTTGACCTCATCATGAATTAAACTCACTGCATTCGTAATTAAAATGGTCGCATATGACCCTTTATTGTCCATTATCAGCCTTGATAAAAAAGGCACTCAAGAACAATCACACCAACAACAATTCAACAATACAATATCGACGAACAGTAACTAGGGGAGGAAAATACTAAATGATCACTTGCTGAGTACCAAAATAAGAAACGATTTACTTCTAGATCGCTAATCGAAATCCAACTCTGTTATTATAAAAATTTACATTGTTATGCACCCGCAGTCATCCTTCCTCTTCCGCCGTCGACCGTCTAGGCCCAACCCACCCTCGTTTCCTTTTCACCCCCCCGTTAGCTCAGCAGATGGTGCTCGTGATTGTAGGAGCCCCGTTAAGTAAATGTGTTGTAGAACTCATACTTTAACAGAACTTTCTGTAGAACAGAACTTCAAATTGTTGATTTTATTAATAGCATCAGGTAGTTAATTGTAAATTTTCACACAAGAATAAATTATTAAACCTTTCACAAGTGTTGATTTAAGTACTATTAATTTAAAATCTTGTTTTGACTATTATCGTAACTAATATTTGATGTTTCCAACTTTTTCTAAAAATAAATGTTGCTATTTTTGAAAGTGAACAATGATACAACACTCATTATTTTAAGAATTAGAAATAAAGGCGTGCAGGCCTGCTTTTAGTTATCTTTATCTGATAGTTCGTTTTTGCAGATTAAGCAGTTTTTTCAAAAAAATTTAAGGATACACCAAAAGGGAATGGTATGCTCAATCTACGTTCAAATAACGCAAAATATCTGCTTACGGCTGTGCTTTTCACTACGTTGTGACTAAATGTTCTTTTAATAAAGGTAATCTTTGCCAGTTGAGTAAGCAATTGGTCTACATGACTACTAAAATCTATTAGATAGATTCCTTAATCTGTCCAGGCGTTGGTATTTTTCTGTACTGTGAAATGTTTTCTGGATCTCCTCAAAAAATATCCATTTTCAAATTTCCCGCATAAAATATTGTTGGCGACAAATATGGCGATAGACATGAAATGGTTGGCTATTTTTCTCATTCCGCCTGGGACCCCTTCAACCGCAGGTCCCAACTCCTGCATATCCAGGAACTCCCCTACATTTATTAAAACCATCTGCCCATTTGGTACAAATGATTTCTCAGCGATTTTAAACTGTTTTTTCATTCTGAAGAAATGCTGATCTTGTAGACTCGTTTAGACTGTTTCACAATCTAGAAACGAAGGAGCGGTCGCACCGGCCAGTTCTCAATATGCAAAGTTCGACAGAGTTGCGATGGAGAAGCCTGGCGGGTCCGTCTGGTAGGCTCAAAGCGCGACGGCAGCATGGAGCAGAGCTCTGAGAGGAACAAAGGCTGTTGGCGTAGCAAAATAACAGATCAAGATCGCCGACCTTCGTCGGTGCGAATGGGTCCTGAGACTGTCCATTAGGAGGCGTATCATTGATCAGTAGAACAGCCCTCCGAGAATGGACAATGCAGTTGATGCGGCTAAACCCCAAACATGTGAGCAGTGTTCGAGGCTAGGTCTTTTCTTGGCCTTGTAGTCAGTGAGGAGGTTGTGGAAAGAAATGTACTTCTTTCCTCTAAACGAAAAGCCTAAGCGTTTTTCCAGCAGCTGCCGCTATTGTCGAGATAGGTTCATCACAGATCAGAAGGTCGTTGATACGCAATAGAAACAATGTTGCGGCCAAGATAGGTCCCTGGGGAACACACGCGGGTTGATATTAATGATAATAATAATAATAATAATAATAATAATAATAATAATAATAATAATAATAATAATAATAATAATAATAATAATAATAGCTTTATTAAATTAAATATTTTTTTATTAAATGGTTTTATTTTAATAAAATTTTGTATAAGTACTTAATGAAGCATAATAAGTAAATGATAAAGATTTCAAAATGATTGCACTGCTTTAAAGCGCTTTGACCTTTAATAATGTGTGGATGCACCCTGATGTGCTACACATTCTCCAACGCGCCTAGGCATGCTCCTGATCAGATGGCCAATGTCCTCCTGTGGTATCTCATTCCAGGCAACCACCAACTCCTCTCGAAGTGCTTCTAGAGTCTGAGGAGGACGTTGCAAATTGAGCAATCTCCTACCCATCATATCCCACACGTGCTCAATTGGGGATAAGTCGGGAGATCTTGGTGGCCCTGGTAACAATGTGACATCATTATGTTGAAAGAAGTCTATTGTGACTCTTGCAACATGTGGTCGGGCATTATCTTGTTGGAAAGTTGGATCTGCCAGGGTGTCAAGATAGGGTAAAAGATGGGGTTCTAGAACTTCGTGGATGTAACGCTGCGCGTTCATGTTACCTCTGATGAAGATTAAAGGTGACCTGGAACCATAAGCTATAGCACCCCAAACCATAACTCCAACAGTGTGATGAACATGTCTTTCAACAGAAAACTGTGGATTCCTCCTTTCACCACGTCGCCTTCTAACCCTGCCATCGTGCATGCCTAAACAAAATCGAGACCCGTCACTAACGACAATACTGTTTCATTCCTGATCCCAGAGTGACCGTTGTCTGCACCACTCAAGGCGATTACATCGGTGTTCTCGAGTTAAAGGGAAGACCCAGTGTGGCCGGTATGAAAACAAGCCAAAACTTCTCATTCGTCGGTAAGCACTTCGCATGCCAATAGGTCTTCCGTGTTCTGCAAACGATTCATTTGCAATGGACCTGGTAGTGGAGAAACGGTCCCTTAAGGGCTACAATCTTAGGCGGCGATCTTCACGGTCTGTTGTTCTACGGCGGCGTCCAGGGCCCCTTGCTCTTTGCGTACGGCCTTCTCGAAGCCATGCCTGACAACACCTAACCACAGTGTCTACACTTCATTGCACTCTAACTGCAATTGCCCGAAAAGAAAGTCCAGCTTCCCGAAGTCCCACTATATGGCCCCTATCAAACTCACTAAGTTGACGAAATCGTACAGGTCTCCGTACTCTAGGCATCGTAACCGATCGTAAAGGATGTCAAGAACCAAAATCCGCCAACGTTGATTCTTTACTGCGGCTGAAATATTCATTTCTAGAGCGTTAGTGAATTAAAAAAAAGCAGTATAAAAACCGGAATGTCCAACTGATGAGGCTGAAAATTTTTTCGCTTGTTATTTACAGTCAGATAAATACATTCACCAACTTTTATTAAAATAAAACCATTTAAAGTGGGTGTTCGGATTTATATGTCACTTAGTATATAACGGTGACTTGAGAAGAATGTTTGTCCTAGCTCTAGGAAGCCCGAATATTTTATGATTGCGAGATGCTAACGTTGGAGTACGAAAGTTGATCTGTTCCAGGATCAAGGGGCAATCAATTAAATTGTTGTTCATTTTGTAGCCAAATATTATTGAGGCACAGTACCTACGTTTTTTCAAAGTCAACATGTCTAAGCGACTACATAGTTCCTCATTACTTGTACATCTCTCTGGATATGTTCCATCAATCCTAAACAGAACAAACTTCATAAACTTCCGTTGTACTCTTTCAATAGCTGTGCTATAGCATTCATAGTAAGGGCTCCAAATAATACTACAATATTCGACTCTGGATCTAACATAAGCATAATACAATAGCTTAAAAGACTTTATGTTATGAACATTCCTGCAATTCCTTACTATGAAACCATAAGCCGCCAATGCTTCTGATGCTTTTTTATTTATATGCTGACTAAAAGTTAACTTATGATCATAGATTATACCTAAATCACGTACATCAGAGCATCTTTCTAGCACAGACCCATCAATAGAGTACGGATATTCGCAAACATTAATTTTCCTGGTATAGCTGACTATTTTACACTTCCTCACATTAAGCTCCAACTTGTTTTCTACACACCAAGGCAGCACAAAATTTAATTGGTGTTGTAGCTTGATACAATCATCAGGAGTATTTATCTGCGAATAAATTTTTAGGTCGTCAGCAAAGCATAAGCGTTCACATTCAACTGAGTCACAGAGGTCATTAATAAATATCAAAAACAGTAATGGTCCCAGGTTGGACCCCTGAGGAACTCCAGAAGGTGTCAAGTAGGTCTCAGATTGGAAGCCATTATAGCTAACAAATTGTCTACGATCGGATAAGTAAGATTTCATCAACTCCCTAGCATCATCTGTAAAACCAAGTGCACCTAACTTATTTAATAAAGTTTTGTGGTTAATTTTATCGAAAGCCTCCGAAAATATAACAGATACTGTGATAATTATTGCAAAGGCCTCATCGATTTATTCAATCTGTGTAAGGAGATTCATTGCTACCAACAAAGCCGAAGCTCGACTGCAAGAACATTTAAAAAGAAGTAAATCGACATCACAGTTTATTGATGCTGATCTAAGTCTAGAAAGACTCACCATATTTTTCAAAAGACGCTGGCTGCTTGCACACTTTACACAAGTACAACACAACTAACACCAGTTCTACAAACAACTTACACAACGGTTTTCACTTGGATGCGAAACAACGCCCGTATAGGCGGAAGTAACAAGCACCGATTTCAACCACTTTTCACCAACCAAACCGATATAGTCTAATCATCATATTAGCAAATTTCCCCGAAATAATTGTAAAGATTAGACTAATAATTATAAGTATTAGGATAAATAAAGCGAAATCAAATAATTATTTGACCGGCACGCCCCGAAATCGAAATTAAACTACTTTATAAACAGTTGAACGGCGGCCACTTCGTTTTTAGCGACTTGCAGGGCTGCCATCCGAATTCCCTAAATTTAGTACAAGACGTTTAGGCAGATAATAGCCCAGGCACTTTTGCGTCCTGTGTACATATTGGTGATGGATTTTCCTCTTCTGGTTGTATTGTCTTTGGAAGGTAGTCACGACAACACCAATGTAATATTAAAAAACTACTTAGCATATTGTACTACTACGATTGATTTGAATTTTTTAAAACAGGTTTTTTCCACCCGCTTCCGCAGCATCGGTAACCGAAGTTTTAGTTAAAAATTTAGTACAAGACGATTAGGCTGATAATAGCCCAGATAAGACAAGTACAGTACAAGTAAAAATTGTGTATATTTTGGGATATGTTTTCAGATAGAAATACCCAATTTCTTTTGGATCCCTTGACAAATTGTTAGGAATGACTATCATCATATCATATCAATATCAATATGATAATTAAACATCTGTTCCCAAAAATAAATGGATTTTTCGCACAACGAAGTGAATATATGCTTCTGATACGAGGGATGTCTTTTAAGTTTTGCATATAGAAACATAGTAGGCCGCGCGGATCGAACGTCAGGACGAAATCTTAACCTCACTCTTTAGTAAACTTAAATTCAAAGTTTCACAACAATACGTGCAGTGTTCTCACTACAGTGAATTTTTAAGTGTCACCAAGTCATTAGAAAAATGGAACTCAACCGAGAACATTTTCGCGCCATAATTTATTACAACTTTCAGAGACAATTATCGCAACAAGAATGCCTTGCTGAGTTACTGTCTGTTTTCGGCAGCGAAGCGGCACATCAGTCGACAATTTCCCGTTGGTATGGAGAATTCAAACGTGGACGGGTGAGTCTTAGCGAAGATCCCAGGGTGGGTGCACCAAAAACGGCAGTCACCAAGGAAAACGTCGATGCTGTGCGCAAACTCATCATTGAAGATAGACATGTGACATATCGCGAGATTGAGGCGTCCTTGATGATCTCAAAGACCTCAATTCAAAAAAATTTACATGAAGAATTAGGAATAAGAAAATTAGTTTCTCGTTGGATACCCCACCTGTTGACTGAAGAGCAGAAAGCAGCCAGGGCTATTTGGTGTCAAAAAACGATTGACCTTTTCATTCCGGAAACTCAAAAAATGTGTACAGCATTGTTAGTGGTGATGAATTGTGGATTTACTGTTATGAACCAGAAAATAAACGACAGTCGGCTGTTTCGGTGTTCCAAGGTGAAGAAAAGCCAAAAAAAGTCATCCGTTCTCCAAGATAGTCGCGACATGTGTCAAAAGCGGGTCATATTGCAACAATGACTCTTAATGAGCAAATAACTGTTACTGCGGATTGGAATACCACCATTTGTTTGCCAAAAGTCATCACCGAGCTTCGAAAAATCAACCCCGAAAGAAGAATCATCCTCCACCAAGACAATGCAAGCTCGCACACAGCCCACAAAACAAGGCAGTATTTAACGGAAGAAAACGTGGAATTATTGGACCATCCTCCATATAGTCCCGATCTAAGTCCTAACGATTTCTTCGTGGTCAAAGGTTCCAGTCACCAGAAGAAGCAGTTGACGCATTCAAAAATGCCGTTTCGGATCTGCCAGCAAACGAGTGGAATAAGTGCTTAGAAAATTGGTTCGAACTCATGCAGATGTGTGTTAATCTTCGTGGAGAATACTTCGAAAAACAATAAAGTCATTTAAAACTACCTACCGTGTTGTTTTATTTCCATATGCAAAACTTAAAAGACATCCCTCGTATCAACTGCATTTTGTATTTCAGTGATTACCGATTGTACTAAGAGACAAGATGATTACGATGAAAGAAGGATGAGTGGTACCCTAGGCTCTATGGAATTGAGACAGGAATGTGATGGAGAAGGTTTTTTTGAAAGTTACAAATGCATTCCTGGGCAAAGGTATTTAAAATCGAGTACGAGTTGCCTAGGTATAGTTATATTTTATCAATTTTCAGTTGTTATTGCGTTTCGAAGAATGGGACTAGAATATTCGGCGAAACTGATTTTATTGGTGTGCCATCTTTTACTATGCAATGTAGTAAGTATTATACGATTATTATGTACGCGTTTTTATTAGGAACCCATTATTATCATGTGTACCAAGTCAGGGCCACTCCCTATATAAAAGTTTACAAACAATTTCTAAAATTTCTTTGAATTTACTGATTTTTACTATCTTTTTCCTGTCCTTATTTTTTAACGTCGTTTCTGTTAATCAGATTGGTTACCAAAGCTAAAAGACCAACAAAGTGATACCATAAAGCAAAAACGAATAGGTCTCATAGACTTGAATATGAAGTATCGATTTTTTTGTTGTAGAATGCTCCCGAGACTATGAGGAAGCCCTATTGATAACCGGCCAGGATCTGGGACCACACCAACATTTCAGATGCTCGGCAGATGGCAGCTATGATCAGTTGCAATGTATTGACGATAGCTGCTTGTGCGTCAACCCATTTGATGGCAGTCCAACTTATCCTGAAGATCCTTTGACCGACATCAGTAAAATATCTTCTGAGACACTAGAGTGCTGTATGTATAAACCTCAAAATTCTTTAAAACAGAGAGGGCCTAACATCAGATGTGAATATCTCTTTTCGAAAAACTGTATTGTTTAACGTTCCTTTGGTAGGATAGTTACTTACCGGGTCATTCTCTATATAAATTCAATTCAATTCAATTCAATTCTTTATTTGTGTTAAGTACACCAGCATGTTTACACAAGTCAAAAGAAAAAAAAATTATTACAAAAAGCAGTCTGACAAAAGACTGATGTTCAAATTAGACAGAAAAACATCAACTTATGACATTATGATTCAATAAAAGCAGATACAGCAAGTCCATATAAGTTGTAAAAACAGGAGGATATATATACGTACATAGATACACGCATATTCATTTAACCACAATACGTATGTTTACTTCTACACACACACACACACACATATATACGTATATACATATATATATATATACATACGTTAAAATGGTAAGACATATGAAATGTTGATATAAAACTTTACCAGATGACTTAGTAGAAAGTTCAAGGAGCCTAGAGGATCCCAGGTGTAGGAACACTGTTATATTTGCTAACAATCCGACAAGTCTGAAAAATTATTGCTCAAATACTCGTTGATCGAGTAAAATGCTTTAGTAGTCAGATAAGCATTAATTTTATTTTTAAAAAGTTTCGCATCCAGTTTCTTTATACGGTCTGGCAACAGGTTATAAAAAACTATCCGATAATAGTTTGTGCCGTTCCTGATGGTTTGGAGACGGCTATGAGGTACTAAGATTTTATCCATATTTCTGGTTCTATAACTGTGGACATCACTATGGGTAGTATATTGGCTCAGGTTAGTCTTTATATACATCAGACATGTGAAGATGTAAAGAGAAGGTACTGTCATGATTTTCAATTCTATAAAAGCTTCCTTGCAAGGTTCCGTGTATTTGAGGCCAGCAATGTACCGCAAGCAACGTCGTTGTAATCCAAAAACTTTTGACGAATGGGCCGAGTGACCCCAGTTTAACAATGCGTATGAAATTCTTGATTGAAAGTAGGAATAAGATGTTAGAAGAAGAACTGACTGTGAGGCATTTTGTTTCAAGTTCCTTATCAAATATATATATTTTTCTAGTGCATCGAGAACATGGATTACGCGAGTTTCCCACGACAAGTGTTCATCAAGGTAGACTCCTAGTAACTTTACAGACTTTAGTGTATTAGTGTCGTGCTGCCTCAAGCTAAGAACAATCATCTGAGACTTGGTTTCATTGATGGTCAACTTATTAGCGGTTAACCTGTTTGCTAATTTTCTTTTATGAGCCTCATAGTCGAATATCAATGGGGCTAAAGAGGCATTGCTATTCATCAAGGTAGTGTCATCAGCGAATAGGATTAAGTTATTATTCACATTATAGTTAGTCATATCATTGACGTAAATTAAAAACAAAATAGGTCCCAATACCGAGCCTTGCGGTACCCCGTGAGCAGCGACTAACTGTGAGGATGATGAACCTTTAAAGAATACAAATTGGCGTCGATTACTCAAGTAAGATTTAATCATTGCAGTGGATGCTTCATGAAAGTTATAAAAAGGGAGCTTTTCCAACAGGATGTCGTGTTGAACACAATCAAAAGCTTTGGACAAGTCCAACAAACATGCTGCGCCATATAGGTTGTTTTCAAAAGTCTCGTTCACAAACTGAATAAAACTGTTAGCTGATCTGGTGGAACTATTTTTCCTAAAACCAAACTGTGTTGAGCAAAATAAATTATTAGCCTCAAAGTATTCATTAATTTGATCTTTCAACAATGATTCCAAAATTTTCGCAAAAATAGGTATTAAGGAAATGGGCCTGTAATTGCATAACTCTTCAGTATCCCCTTGTTTGAAAATGGGTATAATTTTAGATAGTTTGAAAAAATCCGGAAAAGTATTATTTTCTATACACTGATTGAATAACTTGGTTAGAGGATATATGATGAGATTTTGCAAGGTTTTGACATTCGCCATTGCCTATCAGTCTCATCTCTAAAGTCGAAGTTAATTTCGAAAATCTTATATGAACATACATATATGTGTATATACTTTTTACTGAAAGTTGATGTGTTTACAATTTATATTTGGTGAACGTTAGAAGCTGACAGAAAAAGCCTCGAGAAGTAGCATTATTTACTCCCTCGTTTTCAAGAATTTGTTTCTTGATTTGTTATATGACTTCGTAATTTATGAATAAAAAACATGAACCTTAATTTAACAAAAAGTCGAAGTGATATGGATTTTTAGGACACCTCGTATTTTGTTTGTAGATTCAGATTTGAGGTCTGGCGAATATTACAAAACCTGTGAAAGGGAGTATTTGCAAGCTCTGGAGAAAATGAACTGTCTGCAGAAACAAACAGGGTTTAACGAGATATTTAACTACAATTTTCCGAGATGCGATATAGATGGAACATACAAGGCTGTCCAAGAAAATGCCACACAGTAAGTCTTGCAATTTTTATCGTATTAATCGATTAATTAAATATTATAAAAAAAAACTTGGCCAAACAACATGTAGGTTATACCGGTAGCATAATCTAGGCAGTTTATACAGGGTTACTGGTAATTAAGCTCCTTGATAACCCCGTAGCACATTTTGAAGGCAATGTTAACATTTTCGGTGTGCCTCAGCAGCGACTGTACAAAACCATGCGAGAGGATATCCCTGTATGCGAATCATTGATCATGCAGATTTTTTGCGTCTGTCGAGCTATTAAGAAGTTATCGAAAACACGGTGGTAAATATTTTACCCAACCACAAGCTGAAAATTCGAAGCAGTACTCCATTAGCATATAAGAGGCTCGTTTTGAGCACGATTCACATTCATTTGAAATATTACAATTGTCAATTAGTCAAATGACTACTATTTGATCTAAATTTGATTGATTGATTATTTGTTAGCATTTGAGCACTTTCATACTGACGTTTAGTACATTTTTGGAAAGCTCATTTAACTAGCAATTTTTGAAACTTGACGCAGTTTTGTTGTTAGTAGAACTGAGAATAGCCCCCTCTTGTAGTGCAATGAAGCGGTCGTATCGGCCAGTTCTGCATGTACAAAGTTCGGTACGGTTAAGATAGGACGAAGTCAGGCGGGTCTGTCAGGCAGGCACATCGCGCGAAGGCATCTCGAAGGAGAGCTCTGAGGAGCAAAGCCCATTGATGTATCGATCTTAATAAGCAGCTATTTCATCTTGATTTATACCATAACTTATATATTTCAGCAAAATGTGCGTCGACAAGGACAAAACTATTTTAACAGTTATCCTCAAAACTGATCCACTAGCAGAAAAAATGGATTGCAGTAAGTACTGTCTTTTCTTTTATTTTAACAAGAATGTAGAATGCCGGTTCTGGAAATTTTTTTACTAAATTATCCAGCTGGAATAGAGTAGCAAGCAAAATACGTCAATCTTTTTAGTATGGTTTGGCTACATAAGCTAGGCATGTTTGATATTTGTAATATACCATATTTTCGCATATTTGATTTCCTCAGCCGTTCTTGCCCATCTTGTAATCCGTCTAATGACAAATTCTGACAACTGTATTGCAACAATATTGTCAAGATATATTCGAGATATACATAAATATATAGCCGGGCCATATGCTGCAATATGTTCATCTGTATATCTTAAAAATATGTATTTCAGAATGCTTGAGGGCAACTAGCATAATTTCCAGTGCTGAAAAGCCAACATGTAACAAAGATACAGGCAATTACGAACCAATACAATGCAGAAGAGGAGTTTGCAGATGTGTTGACAGTGATGGAAACCAAGTTTGCAACAAGTCGCCGTGTGAAGTTGTCGTCGAAAAAAAGGATAAACTAATCTGTTCATAAATATATTAAATGCTTTATGATTTTTCAATTATTTTTTTTCGAATCGATGATCTTTTTTTCAGTACACTATATCAACTAAAAATTCGTAGCACTCAAAAACATTTGTCATTTGCACGTGTTAAATATGATACGTCGCTTCCTTTCACGTTGCTCCATTTGATTATGTGCACCGGAATCCAGAGGACGAGCCGCTTGCTTCCGTTTTCTCTTCCCTTCCCACAATGAACGTGCACCTTCAGAGTCTGGAAGGTTGCAACAGATTCCACATATGACTGAGACAAAAGCGTGTCTTTCGGCATTTTTTACGTAACCTCAATTACCGATGAAGTGTGAAGAGTGTAAGATGGAGACCCATCTGTGCATTTTATAAGAAAATAATTGGACAGTTTCCATAATGAAATAGGTGTCACGATATCTGCGAGTGGACTGAGCCACCACAACCCATAAAGTTTACAGCCTTATAGCAAAAAATGTATCCTGAGAATGGGGAAAGCGTCTTATAGGGACACATAATCACACAAAAATATAGAAGTTAAACATTTGTTTGATTAGAGATGTAATGTAATGAAATATTCAACTGTAATAGAGATTCAAAACATCAAGTAAATGACAGCCGAAAGCGAGGTTTTTATTGGAAGAGTATCGGTTTGCTTTCACTTTAACGTTAACGACTGTCCAACTCTCCATCTGTCGAACTGGTAAGTGTTTGATAAAATAGCTCATCAAATAATATACAGAAAATCGTTTGTCGATCTGATTGTACATATTCTAAAATTGCCCCTTTTAAATACGACACCACTGAATGAATGACCATCTGTCGGTTCTCTCGGTCTAAAACGATCGTTCGGGAAGAGCAGTTACTCAGTTCTGTACTTAAGTTTCCAAGTAATAGACTTTTTATGTTCTTTAGCGCTTATATTCTCAATTTATTTCTGGTCATGATTCCACTAATCATTCATAGAGTGGCTATTTAGATTCTTGGTAACACAATGACTGCATTATAGATCAATTTAGCATCCTTTAACATCTCACTAATTCTTTCATAAAGAAACTCTCCATTTCTTGTTCTTATACAACTTATCTAATTTGTATATCTAGTTATTTTTCCATATTCGATGAACTACTTTGATAGGAATTCTGAATTGTTTTTAATCATAACAGAATTAGTTTAATTTCAACCTTGATAGTTACTCATTTGGCTGACAGAGTAACTCAACTAAACAACCCAGTCTTTTAGTAATCTGTTTATCGTGAGAGTTAAATGGATAACCTTCAACTCTCGATAATCACTTAGCAGTGTTTTTTCCATTTTCCTGGTTGCCAATTGTTTCAAAAACAATTAAGATATTATGAATTATATATTACGAATATAAACGTTGGACTGCAAATAAATACAAAGAAATAAACAATGTTTAATATTTAGAAGAATAATTATTCGAGAACCATGTTGTGTTTGAAATTTATGTTCACTATTTCGTCTTATCAAATCTCAAAATATGCTCATGATCCTTAATTTCATCCAATTTGTCCAAGTGATCCCACCACAATCTCAGTCGATGTTTCAATATGAGCTGGAACCATGGCGTTAAAGGACCACTTAAAGTTGGTACATATTCGTCTAGCTCAGACCTAGGTACAAAACTAATCTCTGATATTTCGTCGGAATTAGGCTTCACCTGAAAATTACGTTAGAGATAGTAAAAATAATACAAAAAATAAAATCGTGTGTAAGTGGAAACACATTATTGTCATATCAAAAAACTTCATGAGCTACACCATACGTTAGCATATGCAAAAAATAGAAATATTGTAACGCTCTCGTATAACTGGCATATCGGGTACCAGCGAGACACCCTCGTACATCGACCAGAAGATTTGACAGTCGTCCAGAAACACCACTTAGGCAACCAGATAAGCCGCCGTGTATCAAGAGCGGTATACCTAGCACCCAGAATACGTAAGTGATCGAGTTCACGTTCGGGAAGCATCTACCGCCAGCGAGAAGCATAAATCGACATTCAGTTAACTTCGGTAAAGCGCTGGAAGGCTTCTGGAATTCATCGATTGAAGTTAAATACCCGACCAGATGGCGGAAGCAGTCAGTCAGACCGACAACGTGCGATGAATCAGTAACAGCGCGATAGTCCAGTCAACATTGTTATAAAGTCATGAATTAGTTGCGAGTGTGGTTATAAATGAGTGTAAAAGTAATAAATAAGACTTTAAAAAGTAAACACTGTGTTTTTGTTACAATATGTTATTGTCACTCACGCACTAATCCTTCAGTCAATTTATCACTTCACAAATTAAGGCGAGGTTCATATGACAATACAATAATATGTTTCTGCCTTATGACAATCAAAAGTATTGTCAGATTAGAGCTTTCAATATTCGTTAGAAATAGTAGTGTACAGTATTATCTTCTCACCTTTACATCAGCTTGAATGAAAAGTACATAAGTAATCTCATGTTCACCCCATTTTCCATTCCCTTCATCTTTGTAGTACAACCGTGTTATGTAGTTGAAACTTTCTAGAGGTAACTTGTCCAATGGAATACCTTAAACAGAATTAGAGTTTCATTTCATACTCTTTACTAATCAACATCTAAATGTCCCATATGACATAGAACTCTGCAATTCCATATAATATTGTTATCTTAAATTGCTAAAAATAGTGAAACTGACAAGCAAAATTGTTTCGGAAATTTCGTGAATCTAGCTATAAATGTTTGACGTATATATGTCAAAGTGCCATAAAATATACTGACTTTAAAATAATTCGCCCACTATAGTATAATTATTACTTTGTAGGATGTTTACCTAATTCATAATGTAACCGCCTTCTAGCTGCTCTTTTTATACCTATAGCATTCTGCTCCTCATCTTCTCCAGGAAAATCTGCTACAGGATGACTACAGCATGTATTTGTATAATGGTTGGGATAAGTTATCTATAACACATAAATGTTACATGCAACATCACACAGAATAGATGTTGGAATAATGAATAAGTTTATAATCCAGTTTATAAGGACAGAAATTTGTGAAGATTTAGTTGGCATGCATTGCATCAAAGAATAATTATATCAAAGTTATGCCATTCAAAGTTGTCCAACAGAAACTAATTTCTAGTTTTAACTTTTGGAGAAATGAAATTGTATGAATGATCAGTATGTTTTATAGTGAGTTATATTATTTATGTGTTATACATAGACACCAATGAGATTGCCCTGTTACAAGCCACAACATATAAGTTTTTTCAGATGGCCCAGATCAACTAAAGGTACCATAAGTAGAACTTATCTTTCAAGCTCAAAATATTCATAACTATTATACCATCTTGATCTTTGGACTTTTATTATTTATATAGTATTATGTCATGGTGAGCCTGATAAAATATGTTTTGATAAATCAAATAGCAGGAAAAAATTTAACACTCTGAATCAAAAAAATTATGATTAAATATCCCAGATTACAAATAATTTTATTAAATATTCTAACACTTTATTAAGTCATAAGGGTTGATATTTCTGTTCAAAAATTATTATATTCATCTATATATAACAGAAATCATTGTCATAGTTGGAAGAGAAAGTAAAAAACTGAACCTATCATAAGTGTTGTAAAGTCTATAGATGACCCAAAATTTGAAATGAAATAATTGAAAAGTTGTTTTTTAATTATCAAAATGAATTAAGGGAAAATTAATACAGTTGCTATAATATGGAGGCACAATAAATAAACTATAAATAAAGGATGGTGCCAATTTAATGAAATGTGGTTTGAAACAGATTTGTAGCTAGCTATTGGAAAGCTATCTGAAACTTGAATCTTCGAATAAAAAAGTTAAAGCTAATTGTTTTCTCAGTTTTCTCATTAAAATAAAATAACCTGACATTGTTATGGTAGTCTTCAGAAGCCTAAAATATTAGCTTCATTACAATTACCATAAATGCTCACAAGACTTGATCTGTTTTGAGGTAATGTTAATAATATCTAAATAAATACTCAGTGAATGTGGTAAGGTAAAAAAAATAATGAATCTTACCTTTGTATCGGACCTCTTTTGAAGTAAAAGGTCCCCCTTCTTATTGAACAAAAAAGTACTGAATGCTCTATGCAGAGGAATGTCCCCATCTTCTTTTATGAAATGGCATTCCTTTTTTGAAGCCTGTCCTATTATTTTATCATTCTCATCAACCAAGAAACACTTCTCTCCCATAGAACCTGCTTGGACAGCATCGACAAGAGGTGTTTGCTCTTTGGACATTGCTAGAGAACTTGCAAAACCTCTGCCTACACATCTTCTTAAAAGTGTTCGTACTGTAAGGGTAAACATGCTGAAACCAATAACATTACCCATTTGAATGGAATATAAAATTAGAAACTGTGTTAAATCACAATAAAAATGTAAAACAGCTGTTCACCTTTAGCCTTGTTCTTTTCAAATGGACAATTATTGTAATGTTAATAGTTAAATATAATGCAATTTACATGTTGTAACAACAAAGTTCAATCACAAAAATACATTTGGATTTACTTAATGAGTTCAAATACCATAACCATACAACTTGAACATGACAGCATGACATATGTCTTGACATTGACATTTTATGACCTACAAATGACAACCATGACAAGATCCGTCTTGGGAAAAACATGGAATTGATGGAAGATGGAATGCCAGTGAACTAAGAACTCGTTTTATTTCCTCTTTCTTTTTGCATATTTGTATTTGGATAAATAATAGAGACCTTTATCTACGATTCACTTTATTCATTGTATAATGTATACCATTAATTTGACATAAAATCCAGAGTTCTGTGCAAACCACGGTTAGACAACAGTTGTATGAAAATGGCGGCATACAGATACTTATCCTGTTTGAGTGATGAGAATGAAACTCTAGTTCAGATGTGCAAACTTGGAACAATTTTTTGAACAATCAAACAAGAAACAAGCAATCAAAAAATTGTTTTATGATTTCTTGACAGGTGCTCTTCAAACAACATAAGCAGTGTATATCCATAAATAAGCAAAATAAAACAAACAGGGGAAAAGCAGGAATACGAAACTTAAATGCAATACTGAGACAATTATAAAAAAAAGCTAATGTAACAAACGTTCAGTGAGTTTCCCAGGTCTTATTTTAATTTGAAGCCCCATAAAAACTATGTCTGACGAAGAAAAAGACATGGATGCAAACATGAGCGATGAGCAAGGAAATTCTAATACAGAATCTAGCAGTGACGATGAAGATAAGGTTTGATTTAACAGTGAATAATATGAAACAGCCTTTTAACCAACAATTGAAACATTGCAGGAACTTATGGCAAAAGTAGAGGAGCTAGAGAAACAGATATCTGCTAACAAATACCTCTACGATGCTCACTTGGAATTAGTTGAACTATACAGAAAACTAGGAGATCTCAATTCTTTACGAGAGTCCTATGAGAGGTTTCACGAATGTTTTCCACTCACACCAAAGATATGGCTAGACTGGATCAGAGATGAAATCAAAATAGCTAGTAGTGAGGAGGAGAAAAAGAGGGTTTTCCAGATTTTTGACAAAGCGGTTGAAGATTATTTGTGTGAGTTTATCATACAAAACTTAAATAATAAATTCTTAATTTAGTTGAAGGAAAGCCAACTTATTGATATTACTTCTGTTCCATTTTGAAGCGTTTTTTGTCTTGGTTAATAGTCAGTTAATATTTATCAACAGTCTGACCTTTTAAAATTTGGAATCATCTTAAACTTAAACAGTTCTTCAACTGAAAGCATTATGTATATATGTTATGAATAAATTTGGTGTCGGAATAGGTCTTTGAGGAAAACCATTTTTAATTTCATCAGTATCTTTTTTCTTATAGTTAGACAACTTGTAAGCTGATACTCAAGTGGTTCTTATAAGCATACCTTTTTAGATTTTATAAGGTGCTTATGGCTGTGTAATGTTTTTACTATATAGTCTCCTTTTCTCCAGCCCACTGACAGAGATTTTCTTGTCACTCTTAATTCCTGCATTTAGAGTACTGTTATCAGCAAAGCTGTTGATTGTATGGGAAATGAGGTTGTTAATATGTAAGAGGAACAATGTCAGAGCCAAGTCTGATCCCTGGGAAACACCCACGTTGACATTATGGGATGAAGAGGAGTATCTGCCAATTAGAGAGGAACTCAGCCACCATCTGCATGGGTTCTCTGGGAGGCCATGATGGAAATTTGCATAAGAGGGCAGCATGCCACAACTGACAAACCCTTTGGTGATATCAAGGCCAAATGCATAATCCCTACCATAAGACTGGATGAGTTTACTCCATAGTTGCATGATGTAAGCTAGCAGGTCCTTCGTGGATCTCTGCTCCCAATTTATGCACCTCTCTATTACTTTAGTTATAACAGAAAGCAGTCTCTATGCCTGTGGGCGTTGGCCTAAGATTTTTTTTCCTGATTCGTGAGTTATGTGGAAGAGATGCTAAAGAGCTGGTTCTTTCTATGTTACACTTCTATTGATAGGTCATTTTTCACATAACAGATGATAAAAAACAGTATTTATTGCACATCAAAAACAGTCTGCTGTTGAGCTTTATCCAAACAGACTAAACTAATAATATGACTCTCTCGCAAGGTCTCATTAGTCCTCTGACCTTTCAGGTAGAAAGCAGAATGGCTTTATCAAAAAGGGTATATTTTTTTAATATCACTACAGATTAGAAGATACCTAATGCTTTTATTTTGCAAAGAGAACTGAGATTCCAACGTCATTATACTATTTATTATGGCAGTCGACCTATGAGTACTTGATATTGGAGTTTTTTAAAGAGGATAGGCAGGTGTCACTCTCGGGATATGGGAATTCTTCGGTTTGTTCTACTGAACCACCACTAGTACTTAGCTGACACTTTTTTAAATAGGTCTAGGTCTTAAATATTTAGTATAATATCTATTAAAACAAAAAAATTAATAGTATATTTTTTTCAAAGCTTAAAGGCTGCAAAGCTTTAATTTAAAAAAATATGTTTTCTTAATCAGGCAAAAATGCTGTCCCCCATGTTTGATCTACATTAAGGCGTTATGATGTCATACCATTTGTAAACAACAGCTGACAGCAGCATAACCTCTCAAACTTTTGAACATATAAACATAACTCCTACTAATTTACATGAAAAATATAGTAATTATTGTTATTGTATCGTTCCATAATGTAAAAACACATGGGAATTAAATATTTCACGAGTATCCAAAACGTAGAATAACAGCGGAATATCTGGTAATATTTCAAAATTCCCCACATCAATGTGCCAATTTTCGGCAAATTTGTGCTTCTGCTTTTACGAATACAACATCTATAATTGCCTTTTTTGTAGAAATACTTAAAGAAGGCAACTCCACTCCACGCGTGACATACGGATGATATTTCTTTGTTTACAATGTGTATGACATCACATCATGGCCTATTCCATTTCATATTAAAAAAAAAACTATTTTTTTTTTAATTGGGCCCTATATGCAAATCGATAAATTTCGTTTACCTAAGCCAAATATGTATGAAATACTCGTTTATTCTATGAAATTAGATATGAATCACCTATTGTGTTTACTTTATTTCGTAATAATGAACATTTGTTTCTGCTGTCAATATTTTTTTCACTCACTTTAAACTTCATAATTTTCGCTAATTTCAGCTGTAGAACTATGGACGGAGTATGCACAGTACTCTATAGGCGTGAGCAATCTAGAAACCACACGTTCGATCATTGAACGTGGTTTGACATGCGCAGGTTTACATGCTAGTGAGGGCCATCTGTTATGGGATACTTTGAGGGAGTTAGAAAATGCTCATATATCATTACAAGAAAAAGGTTTGTAAATTTGACCAGAGATACAAAATACTTGAAACAAAAAAGTAGAGCTTTACACACCTTTGCTCAAAGGATGTGTTGTGAGCTAGATTGCTAGAGGCTTAAAAATATTTGCTTATATTCCACATTCAGTGATTGAGCTACGTTTTAGACAATTTCATCTACTTGCAATAATTTTTAAGGCTCTGAGGCGTGGACTGCCCAAGTAAAACGCTTAGGTGACATTTTTAAACGACAGCTGTCAGTTCCACTGATGAATATAGAAAACACTTACGAAGAATGGCAACAGTGGCACAAAACTTTACCAGATAGTCTATATGACCCTAAGCCGGTAGAGTGGGGTTACAAAAAGGCGCGAAAAATCTTGGGCGACTATAAGCCCTTTGAGGAACGACTTTTGATCGCGCAGACTGAGGAATTTGACGTTATCTATCGAGAATATATCAAGGTTAGTCATTATAGATAACATTAAAGTATAACATATGATTCATCCAGCAAAATATTTCATGACTTTTGAGATACTATTATTTGTCTGAATGTTTTTAGATAGTAAAGGATCCCTCAACAGTAATTTGCTTGTACGAGCGTGCAGTGTTGCCGTTGTGCCTGTCGCCAAACATATGGGCGCAGTATTGTGCTTATGTCATAAAGTTGGGTGATGCGGCACTCAAAGTGAGTGACAGAGCTTTGCGGAACTGTCCTTGGAGTGAGGAGCTATGGATTTGGAAATTGCGCGTTATGGAGTGGTTACAGAGAGACAATAAGGAGGTGAATTCTTCATGATACATATTTTGAGTGTAATTCCTTGATATAGCTTATGGTGCTTCAGAATGGGCAATATTTTTACTGCATTATCTAGGTGCAAGTAGCCAGCAATATTCAGTGGCGGCGTTAGGCCTTGCAAGAAAGTTATAAAAATATCCATTTTTTTGCCACTGGGCAATCCTAGGTCCAAAAGAAATGGAATCCAATGTCGCTAATTTGAATCAACTATACCGCGCGCGATGCTCTGGAAATCCCCGAGTCGTCTATAATTTCTGTTTAGATATGCTAACAACGTAGAGATAAACATCGATAAATCGATGTGTTTTTTTTTTGTTTTGTAGAGCCTAATGAGCTAATAGATAAGGAGCTTATTGCCAGCGATGGTAAAGGTCAGTTTCGTGATTCTTGTGTGGATAACCTTTTTTAGAAGAAAATAGTTTTTGTGAGTACTATCCCTTGTGTGAACCAACGTTTAGTTCCTCTACTATTCAAACTGCAAATCCAAAACCATTCAAACATACAACAAAATCAAACATAATCAGAAACCACAAAACAACAAAGAAATTTTAATGTGCTACGAAAATGTCAAAGCAGAAATGGCCATAAGAAAATTGAATTCACACTAAAAGACGTGCTCTCACTGGAGGGTCGTGGCTATGATATGCTTTGTTCCTATTTGAAACGATGGTATTACCTCATTTCAAGGAGCTGTGATCTCGAATCAACATCATAGTTCCGAGAGAATATGTGCTCGTGAAATCTGTATCAAGCATTATAACGACTTAGGTACAATACTTTGGGAATTGATATGAATACCTCCAGCTTTTTAAATTCAGTTCATCAGACTCTGTCAATGACGCAAAACAAATTATCCAGTACATTTTAGAAAATCATTTTGTAAGAAGTATATCTAAATGCTTACATAACATTCAAAATCATGCTTACAATTCCAGTCATTAAGAAAAGCTTCTCAAAGCTAAAGTTTATTGAGACCTACTTGATTGAGAACCAAGATGAGCTAAGAGATACTATTTGATGTATCAGTTCTGTCAATTGAAAGGACAACAGCAGCCGGTGTTAAGAAACAATTCAGTGAGGCTAAAAGCCGAAAAGTTCGTCTATTTTAATTCGTATTCGTTTATCCCTGAATGAAATTGTACAGTTTAGATAAGGACGATTATTATTATTGTTTAATTTTTGTCATCATTTCCATAAGTTGAAATTACCTTCCTGTCATGCCAGGGTTGCCTTAAAAATGCATTCTTTTTGTAATGGGCAAGATTGAAGAGTATTTTACAACTTAAATCTTAAATCTCTAATCTTAAATTTTATGTGAAAAACATATACCTATGAGCAGCTAGACTATAAATACTCAAATAATGAAATTTATAAAAATATCGTTTACGTTTTACTTTCAAAAAAGCTTTTTCTTGTGATAGGTGAATTTCTTGAAAAAGTGAATAAGTTTTTAGCATAAAATTCATTTCACAGACTGAAATATAATCATAATATTACTGATAGTAGCTGAAATGAACCAGCAAAAAAGGTATTCGTTGCCTCCCTAAGAAAATCTGTGCTAGGTCGTATTTTATTTTCCACACTACTGGGCGAGGAAATATTGTAATTCCGAAAATTTTCGAAAATGTGATATGGTTTTTGGATGATATATGACGTATGAGTAAAACACGAAAAACCATGTCACTCATTTCCGTCCGTCTATTTGTCTGTCTATTCGCTACTTCTTGGACCGCCTATGACTTGGGAAGTACCGCTCGAATTTCGATGAAATTTTGCTATCCGAAGGACGAAAAGCTTTTGAAAATCGGCCCGGAGGCGGCGGAACTAGAAGCAAAAACATGTAAAAAGTGAAAATAGCTCGAACTTCGCTTTTCGACGTTTCAGGGCCTCTGATCATTTTCAGAAAAAAAATTGTAGGGGTTAAAATTCGGGGGCTGAATGTTTTTATTATACTTCGGATATATCATAATCATGTTAATATTTCCTCCTCTTTACCAAACATTAAAAACAATTTCAGGAACTGAGTTGCTTTGAACAAGCTCTCCAAAGTCTTTCACCTAGCCCATGCCTGGACTTGTGGCTATCTTACCTGGAATATTCACGTAGAAACGAAAAAGATGGCGCAAAGCTAGAGAAACTTTTCTCTGACGCTGTCGAGCGATTGTGGGAGCACGACGCGCAACGTAAAATAGCCAGATTTTACGCTAGGCTCTTGGCTAAGAAAGAGAATATGCAAGCAGCTAGAAAGATATGGAGTGGCATTCTGGGTGATGCTACAAATAAAGGTGAGATCATCTTGCAAAATATTCTTGCAGCCCAAAAGAGTGAAATTTAAAAACTTGATTCACCGGTAGTTATGGAGATTCCACTTGCAAAGTTCTTTCAGATCAGTGATTCGCATTTCAGGTTCGGCAACGGCATGGCTGGAATTTGCGAATTTGGAGCGGCAATATGGGGAAGTAAACCAAGTACGATCTATATACAAAAGAGCTCTGAGTGCTTGTACAGAATGGCAACAGGCTATTGTGGACGATTGGTTGATGTTTGAACGTGAAAATGGCACCTTGGAGGACGTTTTGAAATGCGTAGAGACCTGTAAGAGTCTTGTAAAGGTATATGCCCAGACATACTCGAATCAGAATAATCAGAGTAATGATGATACTCGTATGGACACCAGCGATGTCAAAAAAGGTAGGTTTAGGTTTAGAATGGTGATAGATAAGGATATGATTTTCAAAGTTATTTAAATTTGTTAGTAAAATGCAGTACAGCTCGTTGAAACCTCTGTGTTTGTGAGTCATGTTTCATTTCTAGGAACCAAACGAAAACAGCATAGAGAAGAGTTAGGACAAAAGAAAAGAATGAAACCAGACAAAACTCACGAAGACAAATCACCTCAACAAAAAAGGTTAGAGAAGGATCCCAAAACAACTGTTTTTGTCAGCAACTTGCACAGTAGTGTTAAAGAAAAGCAATTGAAGGAGCTATTCCCGAATGCCACAGAAGTGGAGGTTGCATATGACAAGAAAGGACGGTCTAGGTAAGCCAGATATATGTATAAAAATTGCTACTGAGCCAGTAGTGAATTCAACCTTGCACAGTTTGAGACTTTGATGCCTACTTCCAAACATTTGTCAATTATGTCTTAGTTCTTCAGTTCTTTGCCTGGAAATTTCAAATGCTCTACAATAACACCAGTTCCCAAAATAGAAGATTCTAAAAGATGCAGCGATATGAGACCAATAAATATGTCACTGACATTGAAAAATTATTGAAGTCCATAGTACATGACTAATTAATGCAGTTTATAGAAGAAAACAAAATGTTTGTGGAAACAAAAGCAGGCTTTCGCATAAAAATATTCCACAGAAACGGCTTTCCAATTGGTTACTGAGAATTGGAGAAGCGCCTTAGACTCAGAAGTTGTCATAGCAGTATTTTGGGATCTGAAGACGGCATTTGAAATGATTGATAGAGATATTTTGTTAGGTAAATTGAAGGCATACAGTATATCAGGAAGTGTTTTAGATTGGTTTAAACTTATTTGTCTAAAAGGATGCAAGTTACAAAAGTCAATAACACTATTTGATCAAATTTTTTTTTATTGTATCCAAACACGATTTACATGCCGTAGTCAAAAAAATGCAAAATTCAGATTTACAATACAAATGTTCAACTAAATATTGATGGTGAAGATCTTGAATTCATAGAACATTTTTTGATGAATCTCAATAAAAGTTTGATAATCATTTTGAAAAAGTTATAAATAAGATTAGCAGTAAAGTGGGATATTTATGAAGTTTCTGGATGTCTGAGTTCATATAGCAGAAAAATTATTTATCTATATCTCCTCCAAATTTCTTGTACTGTTCGACTACTCTATATTTAGCTAATAATTCCATTTTTGAAAGACTGCAAATTTTACAAAACATGCGCATGAGAATAATACTGAATAAAGAAAAATATACTCCAATTAGACAAATGCGTAGCAAATTAAAATGGCTCAATGTGAAAAATTATTTATAAGGTAAAAAATAATATATTTCCACCATGTTCTACTTATTTAACATCAAATACCGACCATCATTTACATAATAACAGTAATAAAGATAACTTCCATTTAATGACCAAACGGTATGACAAATGCTACAAATCTTCCATCAAGGGTTGATTTAATATAATAAATTATATACAGAGATAAAATACCAGAAAGCTTTGACAAAATTCAAAGTAAAATTGAGGAATCACTAGTTAAATCTACAATTATAGCTTGCCCAACAGAATTTTTTTAAGCTAAGTAATATTGATCCAATTTTGTTTTGTTGGCTTCTGTCAATTAAGTAGTTTTGTAGAATTTTGAATACAGATCCTTTAACTCCATTGTCATCATAGACTACCAAGTCATGCGATGATGTAGTTTCCACGAGGTCGCGCAGTTAGCGTCAAGAAATGAGTCCTGTACTCCACATTTTTAGTACCACACTATTAGCGTTCGTATCGGGTTTTCCAATAGGGACTTGACAACTTTGAACTTTCATTGTGAACGCACCTTTAAATCAAATACCGAACCGTCAAAGTCAAAACATTCAGTAAAGAAAACATTTTCATCATGGTGAAGTACACGAACGAACAACGCTTACAAGTAACTAAAATTTACTACCGAAATTCCGAGTCGGTGACTGCAAGTTAAAGAGCGTTAAGGCAATTTTTGGTCGTAATTCTCGTCCCAGTAGACAAGCAATTCATAGTAAAAAAATTTGAGTCCACATATTCGCTGCTGGATGTTGCTGCCGTCGCAAACGTGCAGAACACGTCGATTCCACGGCATTCTCAATAATTAGGCATCGCTCAGACCACACTGTGGCGAATTTTGCGAAGAGATCTTGGCCTGCACCCTTATAAGATCAAGTTAACCCAAAAACTAAAGCCATTCGATCATACGAACCGACATACGTTCTGGAATTGGGCTCTAGAAATGTTGCAAGAAAATGACCAATTTCAACGCAAAATCATCGTCAGTGATGGGGCGCATTTTTTGGCTCAACGTCTTCGTCAACAAACAGAATATGCGTTATTCGTCAGGTGAAAACCCTCATGCACTTCAAGAAACACCACATGCTGGAGGTATCATTTCGCCGTTTTTTTTTTTTCGTTGATGAAAATGACTCTCACGTTACAGTCAACCGAGATCGCTACAGAGACATGTTGCAATGTTATTTTTTTGGTCAATTGGATGGGCTAGACATTAATGGTATGTAGTTTCAACAAGACGGTGCCACAAGCCACCCAGCGGGTGAAACATTCGACATTTGTAATCAAAATTCAGTGTTCGTGTTATATCGAGAAGTGGCCCTGTCGAAAGTCCGCCTAGATCGTGTGATTTAACACCTCTAGACTTTTTTGTGGGGTTACATTAAATCATTGGTCTAGGCCAACAAGCCGGCGTCGTTAGAGCAACTCAAAGCCAATATTGAACGAGAGATAGCGGCCGTTTTTGTCGTACGAGGGATGTCTTTTAAGTTTTGCATATGGAAATAAAACAACAAGGTAGGTAGTTTTAAATGACTTTATTGTTTTTCGAAGTATTCTCCACGATGATTAATACACATCTGCATGCTCTCGAACCAATTTTCGGAGCACTTATTCCACTCGTTTGCTGGCAGATCCAAAACGGTATTTTTGAATGCGTCAACTGCTTCTTCTGGTGACTGGAACCTTTGACCACGCAGTCTGTTTTTAATTTTCGGAAAAGTAAAGAAATCGTTAGAACTTAGATCGGGACTATATGGAGGATGGTCCAATAATTCCGTTTTCTTCCGTTAAATACTGCTTTGTTTTGTTGGGCTGTGTGCGGGCTTGCATTGTCTTGGTGGGGGATGATTCTTCTTGGGGGGTTAATTTTTGGAAGCTCGGTGATGACTTTTGGCAAACAAATGGTGGTATACCAAGCCGCAGTAACAGTTCTTTGTTCATTAAGAGGAATTGTTGCAATATGACCCGCTTTTGACACAAATGTCGCGACCATCTTTTTCGAAACACTTCGAGAACGGATGACTTTTGTTGGCTTTTCTTCACCTTGGAACACCCAAACACCCGACTGTCGTTTATTTTCTGGTTCATAACAGTAAATCTACGATTCATCACCACTAACAACTGTAAACATCTTTTGAGTTTCCGGAATTGAAACGGCCAAGCGTTTTTTGACACCAATTAACCCTGGCTGTTTTCTGCTCTTCAGTCAACAGGTGGAGTATCCAACGAGAAACTAATTTTCTTACTCCTAATTCTTCATGTACATTTTTTTGAATTGAGGTCTTTGAGATCTTCAAGGACGCCTCAATCTCGCGATATGTCACATGTCTATCTTCAATGATGAGTTTGCACACAGCATCGACGTTTTCCAGGGTGACTGCTGTTTTTGGTGCACCCACCCTGGGATCGTCACTAAGCTCGCCCGTCCACGTTTGAATTCTTTATACCAACGGGAAGTTGTCGACTGATGTGCCGCTTCGTGTCCGAAAACAGTCAGTAACTCAGCAAGGCATTCTTGTTGCGATAGTTGTCTCTGAAAGTTGTAATAAATTATGGCGCGAAAATGTTCTCGCTTGAGTTCCATTTTTCTAATGACTTGGTGGCACTTAAATATTCACTGTAGTGAGAATACTGCATGTATTGTTGTGAAACTTAGAATTCAAGTTCACTAAAGTTTGAGGTTAAGATTCAGTACTGACGTTCGATCCGCGCGGCCTACTATGTTTCTATATGCAAAACTTAAAAGACATCCCTCGTAATGTGTGGCTGAGTCATTGAAAATTGGGTTCAACGAATCGATCGCTGCGAACGTGCCTGTGGTGGACATATGAACGAAGTCGAATTCCATAGATACATTTTTTGAGTATACTTCAGTCCAATAATAAACTTTTCGAGATATCTCAAATGGTTTGCGTTTTATATGAAAAGAAAGTTGTCGAGTCCTTAATGGAAAACCCTTTATAACATTATGCCAAAATTCTCATTTTTGCCCCCCTCTACTCGCACGTGGCTTTGAAGAAGAACAGAAAACTCACCCTATATTTTTTTTCAAGATGTTACGGGTACATCAAATTCGCCAAAGAAGAAGAGACGATGACAGCCCTAGCGAGTGACAGAATCCCATTGGACGGCAGACCAGTGTTCATATCTGAACTGAAACCTGCTAAAATGGAGCGAAAACCTGCCTTTAAGTATTCCACGACGGTAGAAAACAACAAATTGTTCGTGAAGGGACTGCCTGTGACGAAAACTAAGGAGGAAGTTGAGGAGCTGTTCAAACCCCACAAAGCGATTGACGTGCGGGTGATATTGAAAAAAAGCGGACAGTCTAAAGGCCTCGCGTACGTCGAGTTCGCTAACGAAGCAGATGCACAAAAGGCGTTGAAAGCTACTGATGGAATGAAGGTTAGTGAGAGTGGAGCATTCGTTCTAACATTAATTATCGCTTTGCATTTTTCGATATATAACATATAAAAAAAATATCCTAAATATCTATGCTCGGAACAAAGTGTGTATGCCCGCCTGCAAGTTTGAGCACAGCTTGTTGCTTATCAGGGTTGTTTCGTTTTAAACATTTTGTTTTAAACATGTTTTAAACATTCGCTTATTTAAAACAGTTTTTGTTTAAAACAGTTAACATGTTTAAAACACTTAAATTAAACAAGCATTCTTTTGGCGTCAAAGCCAGTTTCATCCGCTCCTCGACGTTATTCGTATTGGACGGAGGTGATCAGTGCAGTTAATGTTGATGTCGCTTGTACCGCCTTGTATTCAGTTATCAATAACATCTTTGAGGTCCATGTCCCTAAATGTAAAAATAAAATGTTTTCGTATCCCCCATTTTTCACACGTGAAATTATACTTAATATCAAGAAGAAGGACATAGCAAGTAGGAACTGGAAACGTGACGGTACTAAGTTTTCTTATGATCAGTTCAGTAATTTTAGGAAGCTCATTAAGAACCAGATCAGTGTTGCCTACTCCCTTACGTCCAATCGGTTGAGGATGCCATTGTCAATGATCCTAGCAAATTCTTGTCATTTGCCCAGGTCAAAAAACAGCAATCTAGAATCCCCCAAGGATGACGCTTAACGGCAATGTCTGCGATACGCCTCAGGATATAGTGGAGAGTTTTGCTACCTTCTTTTCAACAGTTTTTATCCCGTCTGGTCTACTAGGGTCATCTCCTCCAACAAATAATTCTACCGATATCATTTCTTTAAAAAATATAAGTGAAGAAAATGTAATTAGGGCTTCGAAAAGATTAAAGAACAAAATGACGTCTGGATGTGATGGTATTCCAAGTTTTTTCGTTAAAGATTGCATTCATATACTAGCGAAACCGCTGGCTTCCATATTCAACCTAATTCTAAAATCAGAGACATATCCAAATATCTGGAAGACCCCTAAGATATGTCCTATTCACAAAAGTGGAGATATCTCTGATATTTCCAACTATCGCCAAATAGCAATCCTGTGCAATTTCAGCAAGTTGTTTGAGATCATTGCTTATGAAATGGTTTACTGCTCGGTCAGGGGTGCAGTCTCTATTAATCAGCATGGGTTTATGAGAGGCAGATCTGCGGTCACCAACTTAAAACAGTGGGTATGTCTGATGCAATGCTGTCGCTCATGAATTCATATTTGAGAGGTAGAAGGTTATTTGTCGAATATGGTGGTCATAGGTCCAGTTACTATCGGGCCACATCTGGGGTACCTCAAGGGTCAAATCTAGGTCCATTATTGTTTTTAATATTTATTAATGACTTGTCTTTTGAACTGAAGTGTTTCCATTTGTTTTTCGCTGATGAGCTTAAAATCTGCACGTCAGTCAAGACAGCCGAGGATTGCGTCATGTTGCAAGATGACTTAGCTCCAATTTCGTGATGGTGTTCACGAAACTGTCTCAGTCTGAATGTTTCGAAATGTAAAGTTATGACTTATACAAGAAAAGTTAACTATTTAATTTATGATAATTATAACATCAATGGTCAGGTTATAGACAGACTGTCTCAGTCTGAATGTTTCGAAATGTAAAGTTATGACTTATACAAGAAAAGTTAACTATTTAATTTATGATAATTATAACATCAATGGTCAGGTTATAGACAGATGTACCTCTTATAGAGACCTTGGAGTCATTTTTGATACCAAGCTAACCTTTACTGAGCATATACTCAATATATCGTCGGCTGCCACTCGACTACTTGGTTTCTGTATCAGAAACTGGAAAGGTTTCTCCAATGTTGATACATTAATGACTTTATTTTTTACTTTTGTCAGGAGCAAGTTGGAGTATGCGACTCTGATCTGGTCTCCTATATACCAAAATTCTGTCGTGATCCTTGAGGCCATTCAACGTAAAGCTTTAAAGTATTTTCACCTTAAATGCACGGGTTCTTATCCAGAAAGAGGTTGTGACCATAGTGCCCTATTAGAGTTTTTCAATTTGGATTCACTGTCAACAAGACGAAACATATTTGCTTTGTCATTTTTGTATGGCCTCATTCACAATAAAATTGACTGTCAAAATGTATTTTTCTACATTTAGCAGTCACTGATTTTTTGTTATTATCTTTAACATCAAAATAGGACCAAATGGCATCTTTCTTCCTTATTGTAGACGACATTTTTCAAAAAAAGAACACCACAAAATAACACAGTAAACGTTATTGCAATAGCCAACTTGCAAGGCGAATTTATAAATAGTAGTCTGTGGTACCCCCAGGCCAATAGTTCCTCATTGCAATTGGTTTTTGTTATTTCGGGGACTCACCGGCACAGCCTAACGGCGGCGTGGCTCGACGTGGTTCGTAACAGCTGATCGCGACAGTTTATTACAGAGTCGGACTTTAAATAACGTATCTCTTATTTAGTAGAATAATAGGTCGAACGTTTTCAATTAATATTATGAAAAAATATGTTTTAAAAATGTTTTGTTCTAAGTTTTATTTGTTTAAAACATAAGCTTTAAAAACAGAAAAAACATGTTTAAAAGAAAAAAATTGATACCAAAAAAAATTGTGTCTTGTATAAAATAAAAAAATACATGTTATTTTTCAACCCTGTTGTTATGCTTTCTCGACAAATCTAAATTACCAAATTGTCAAATACGATTTTCTGATATCCTTAGAACATTTACATTTTAGGGTGATCCAATAGGTACTTCGGTACTTAGTATGTTCTGTGGAGAAGGATTAACATGCTCATGACGTTAATACTGCACTAATTTATCCGTGTTTCGCAGAACATGTAAGTGTGAAAATGTACTGCAGTGAGCTGGCGGTATAACAATAAATGGAAATGACTTAGTCTAAGCAACAATTTTTTTCCATTTTCTTTTAAGATTTTTCTGGACTTTCAAACTTCAATTCAGTTATTTGATCCGGAAGATCATTGATCATTGACCTAAAAAATAGTTTTTTAGCTTTTTCAAGGCAGTCAATGTTGCTGCTCTTCAACAGAAGTTCACCCATAAAATTTTGCTTTTCTGTCACTATTCCGTCCCCATTGAATGTAGGAAACACCTTATTCAGCTTCTCAATTTGTTTCATGAAAGGTTCCACACCCGTTATGATAATTCACCCTCCCTAAGATGGTCTATCCAGGAATAAGTTTCATTTCAGGAACCTTTCAACCTCTCATCCTGCAATTTATGGCAAACAAATCCGGCCAGATTTACCAGACCGTCATACTCCAGCTCATCTATTTCTTCCACTAAAACTTCCTCGTTATAATCAGCTGATACTTCACGAGCATTCAGTTTATTCGTTACTGATACGGTTAGTGGAATGTACGGTGTATCCTCTGACTCTACGCTGCAATACTCTGAGTATGCGCCTTCGTTTCGCCTCAAAATATATGACCTTATTCTATACTTAAACTCTAGGGGACTTGGATGGTAACGAAGATCACCTTTGACCCTAATTACTCCGAAAAAGTTTTCTATCACATCTTGATTAAGGCATCTTGTTAACAGGTATTGGACGCTGAAGCGTAGATGTAGAAGGTCCAGGTGATGATAGAGACTTGGGTAAATTTTCCGTAGGAATGGCATCATCTATTAGAGCATGATATCTTTTAGGGGTGTAACCCAAAAGGGTAGGTTTCAAATTGACCTTATAGGCACTTTCACAAAAGCAATTTTTTGCTCAGGTTTAGGTCTCGAGGAAAACTGTGGAACTTCAAGGATTCTCTTTAGATTGGTTGACGGAATTACATCGAACAACAGCACACCGCATATCAATTTATCAACCCACACAGGGTATATTAAGTTTGTATAACGAATACAACATGTCACAAAACCACCAGAAATCACCAACAAATCCCACTATATAGTATACTAAGTGACATATAAATCCGAACACCCAGTTTAAATGGTTTTATTTTAATAAACGTTGGTGAATGTATTTATTTTAGTGTAAATAACAAGTGAAAAAATGTTCAGCCTTATCAGTTGGACATCCGGTTTTTATACTGCTTTTTTTTAATTCACTAACTCTCTAAAAATGAATATTTCAGCCGCAGTAAAGAATCAACGTTGACGGATTTTGGTTCTTGACATCCTTTACGATCGGTTACGATGCCTAGAGTACGGAGACCTGTACGATTTCGTCAACTTAGTGAGTTTGATAGGGGCCGTATAGTGGGACTTCGGGAAGCTGGACTTTCTTTTCGGGCAATTGCAGTTAGAGTGCAAAGAAGTGTAGACACTGTGGTTAGGTGTTGTCAGGCATGGCTTCGAGAAGGCCGTACGTAAAGATCAAGGGGCACTGGACGCCGCCGTAGAACAACAGACCGTGAAGATCGCCGCCTAAGATTATTGGCCTTAAGGGACCGTTTCTCCACTACCAGGTCCATTGCAAATGAATGGTTTGCAGAACACGGAAGACCTATTGGCATGCGAAGTGTTTACCGACGAATGAGAAGTTTTGTCTTGTTTTCATACCGGCCACACTGGGTCCTCCCTTTAACTCGAGAACACCGACGTAATCGTCTTGAGTGGTGCAGACAACGGTCACTCTGGGATCAGGAATGGAACAGTATTGTCTTTAGTGACGAGTCTCGATTTTGTTTAGGCATGCACGATGGTCGTGCCAGGGTTAGAAGGCGACGTGGTGAAAGGAGGAATCCATAGTTTTTTGTTGAAAGACATATTCATCACACTGTTGGAGTTATGGTTTGGGGTGCTATAGCTTATGGTTCCAGGTCACCTTTAATCTTCATCAGAGGTAACATGAACGCGCAGCGTTATATCCACGAAGTTCTAGAACCCCATCTTTTACCCTATCTTGACACCCTGGCAGATCCAACTTTCCAACAAGATAATGCCCGACCACATGTTGCAAGAGTCACAATAGACTTCTTTCAACATAATAATGTCACATTGTTACCATGGCCACCAAGATCTCCCGACTTATCCCCAATTGATCACGTGTGGGATATGATGGGTAGGAGGTAGGAGATTGCTCAATTTGCAACGTCCTCCTCAGACTCTAGAGGCACTGCGAGAGGAGTTGGTGGTTGCCTGGAATGAGATACCACAGGAGGACATTGACCACCTGATCAGAAGCATGCCTAGGCGCGTTGGATAATGCGTAGCACATCAGGGTGCATCCACACATTATTAAACGTCAAAGGGCTTTAAAGCAGTGCAATCATTTTGAAATTTTTATCATTTACTTATTATGCTTCATTAAGTGCTTATACAAAATTTTATTAAAATAAAACCATTTAAACTGGATGTTCGGATTTATATGTCACTTAGTATATTAACCACGATACACGTACACTGCAGGAACGTTACGACAATCCTGCCGCTGGTAACCAGGAGCCTACAACTCTCAAGGTGACGCCACGAAGATCCGGCCCACATGCGCAACATCCTATCTTCACTGTATGTGTATCGTGTTGTGTGTGTGTAGTTTGATGAGTTTCTCATCAAACACCGAAGAATAACCTTCGGAGATGCCATCCACTGGTGAAACGTCAAGAATTAACAATTCCCAACACCGGCTGAACAGCCCGAGAATGATGAATCGTTTGGACATTGTCCGCGAAAGCGTCACACAACTCATGAATATCTCTGTCTATTTTGCAGGTGGACGACCACGAAATCAGCGTCGCAATAAGCGCGCCCCCGCCCAAAAAAGAGAAGAAACCAGAGGTGCCAGAACCATCCAGGCACGCGAGAAGCCGTCTGCAGGTCCCGTTGATACCCAGATCCCTCCAGGTGAAAAGCGCGACTGAAAAATCTGGTTCCACCAATGGAAACGCTGCTGTTAGCACTGCAGCACCAAAATCGAACGCTGATTTCAGAAATATGTTGTTGAAAAAATAATTAAATGTTTTGTAAGTTGTAAATTTTAAGTTTATATGTGGTTAGATATTGCATATACATATTAAAGAAATGAAAGATTGTATATAAAATTGTTTATTCGCTCATATAAAACAAATTCGCCCAAAGGCTATATTGCGACACAAATAACAAATAGACATAGATTTTAGTCAGAATTGTCCAAAAGACACTCCAAAATAATATAACACTAAATAAAAATAAGATCAAAAGATCGACCGATGGTTGTCGTTTCAATCTAGAATAAGATTTTTCTTCGAGAATAAAATGTGAAAAATTTTAAAGAATAATAAGCTATTAATAAATATTAAGTATAAAAATAAAATTTCACATTAATCTATATTTGCCGCTGCGCGTCGGAACCTTTGAATTTCATCACAACAGGTTTTATTATAATGTCAGCGGTTTAAAATACAAGCCTAAATTGTTCTAAAAATTGAAGAAATTTAATTTTCACACTATAATTACTCATACATAATGTTTATTATATTTGAAACATTCAATATGTTACAGTGACATCGAACGAGAAAAAGTTAGTCGTATTCATTACAATACAATTCTAAGTCAATTTTCAGAATTCATCATCAGCAAATCATTTTTCGGTAAAAGCTCATAATTAAAGCATGTAAAGGGTGTCTCAACAAAAGCGCCGGATTTGAATTTGCCGCCATTTTTTTGTACAAATGGTATGGTATTTAGTTGGTGACAACTGTCATGTCCAGACCACGCGATGAGATGTCATGGAGCAGTCTCAAACGAGCAACGTTTATTATGAAAACTCTAAAAAAAATGGAGAAAATTATGTAAAATGTTCGATAGCAATATTGCGCCAAGTGAGTCGACAGTTTGCCGTTTAATTTCAAAATTTGAGACAAAATTTACGTTGCTGAGTGTGAAGACCACTGTTCGTCGCCGTCCTGGTCGGTCCCTCGAAAATATAGTTGCATTGCGTCCGAGAGTCCAGGCACTTTCAATTCTGCATCGTGGCCAAGAATTGAACCTTACCAGTCGCACTCTGCAACGGATTTTTACAAAAGATCTGTGCTTGCATGCGTACAAGGTTCAACTGACGCAAGAACTCAAGCCAACGGACCTTTCACAGCGCCGTGAATTTAGTTGATTGGGCGCTGGAGCACCACCAAATTGATGCTGTTTTCTCTGTTTCGAAGTTGGATCGAATTGATGTCGAGGATATGTTCTTCCAACAAGACGGTGCGACCTGCCACACAGCACGCGAAACAATGGTGTTCCTGCGGACCAAGTTTCCAGACCGATCATCTCTCGGTTTGGCGATCAAAACTGGCCACCAAGATCGTACGATCTAACGCCAATGGACTTCTTCCTCTGGGGCTATGTGAAGGAAAAGGTGCATTCGAACAAGCCACAAACAGTTGAACGCCTTAAATAAGAGATACGGCACGTTATCGACGAAATAGGGCAACAGTTGTGCGAAAACGCTATCCAGAATTTTAAGAAAAGACTGGCCAGAGGTTTCGCTGTGGCCATTTCGTCGCTTGAATTCAGAAGTATTCTAAGTCACAAAGCAACAAGATTGATTAAACAAGAATCAATTGGCGGACTTGCCTAACATTTCTGAGAGTCCGTGAAGTGGACTTATAATTTTTTTTGATGACATTGGACTCACAGTAGTTCTGTAAGTGAGCAACTGCTCTTATCATAGTTCTGCAGCGAAGTGACGTGCCTCAAGATATTACGCCAAATATCGTTTAAGACCAGTGGTGGGGAGACGCTTGCGCAGGGACTTACAATACCTCTGCATGCAATGTAGGTGACTATGAGCTACAACGTCGTGTTAAAATCCGAAAAATTAAGAATTTGAATATACAATAGTTCTGCATTCAGGCGAAGATTTACCGGATATCCTATTTCATGTTTAATCGCAACTATTCCTCTTCATGTTGAAATATAAATTCTCGCTTAATTCGAAAAGAAATTTTGTTTTTCTTGAAAATCAAATCCGACGATCTTATTGAGACACCCTTTAATTACGCACGTAAATTTAAACTGCGCAGTGCTCAAAATACAAATTTCTGTCTAATATAGATCTATAAAGCGAAACGTTTCGGTTTCTTCGTGAAGCACGCATCTGTCGCCTTAGTTCTCAAGCACACAGCCTTGATGGTGACGTCACCTTGGATGTACAATGCGTTTACTTTGTCAGCGTCGGCTCTAAACTTGAATTCTCCCGCCAATTTTCCGTCTATCCATACTGCGAAGTGATTGTTCCCTCTGGAAAAATATGTCGCTAGTAGATATGCTTTATCATCCTTAATGACAAACCTAACTTGAAACTAAACAAATTTACATATATGGATCTCAAGTAATTGAATTATGGAAGTCACACATGATATAGTATGGTTTACCAATAAGAAAGTTTTTAACTTCACGGCGAAAAAAACTATGTGAAGTATTGGTCATATCTATACTAAATTATTGTAATATCGTATACTATACTTGTTTAGACAATTTCACTAAAAATGTTATTCAAAACAATTGTATACGATTCATTTTTGGCTTACGTAAATTTGATCATGTATCAGCGAAATATCCCGTTCTAAATTGGTTATAAATTAATGACATGGTCAAATATCACTATTCAGTTTTTGTTCACAAATTGCCGCTCACGTCTAAACCTTATTACTTGAAGGAAAAAAATTCATTCAATAATGATGTTCACTGTAGAACTCTCAGAGAAAATAATATTAGAATACCCCTGCATACGTCTACACTTTTTAAACGCAGTTTTTCTTACAATGTTGCTAATATTTATAATGACCTTCCTAAAGTATATATAAAGAATTTTCATTACCTGTCTTTCGACAAAAAGTTAAAACATTATTACTCAACCCTCCAAACATATAATTTACGTAATCATTCATTTCTTTTTTATTCCATCTTTAATTCAGATTAATAATTTTTTGGTGCATTTGGATTTGGAAAGTATGCCTTTTTCTCTTTTTTTAAATTTTACTTTCGATGTAATGAACCAAATCTGTTTGTGGATAGTGTATTCTTTTGAACATCTGCTAGAGACTATATGGTTAAGTGTAAGAGTAGCAGCATGCTAAACTTCGCCATATAAGTCTGACATTTGGCTATACTTACAATGTAATTGTGGATAAATAAAGACGTCTATTATTATTATTATTCTTATTATTATTTAAATATCTTTAAATTCTTGATTATTGAGACATCATCAGGTAGGCACATGTAAATTTTCAGACCATTATAAATAACTGAGCCTTTCACAAGAGTTTATCTTGTTTTCGTCTTTTTATTCGACAACAGATAATGGGATTCAAACGGAAGTGTTGGCAAGAACGAAAAAACTCATTGAATAACATTTTTAGGTATTTATGAGACCTATATAATGAGACCACACGTAAAAAGATCCCACTAATAGTAAAAAAGTTATGGCCGAAAACCGAGGTAAAATGCAGGTTTCGGCACTTGTTGCTAATGGAAAGATAATTTCACGCAGCTACTTGAAATTCTTCAAATCCGAAGACTTCTTACTTCTGAACCACAACAAAATTGGAGGCGATTGGTCAAGTACTTTTTGAGAATTTCTAATTGTTTATCCCAAAACACCTGTCTTCCGGCCATCACTACTAGTTTATTGAGCAAAATACAGGATTCGTTCAAAGGGCATTTTATAGCAAATTACACGACTTTACCTTGCCGATATGAATCACAAGCCTTTCCGAAAGATAATTGTTAATAAAAAGTATTCCCACAAAAATTGGTGTAATTTTGTGCGCCCATGTCTTAAATACCCCCTTGAACAACTTGCAACAATAAAACCAAACTTTACAATTATTTAGTCTAATATAATTAGACTGTAATATTGTAACTAAGATGTTTCAAATTTAGATTCATTTTTTGAAATAAGAGTTGCCGTTTCAAAAACAAACAATGATATGACAGTCGTCATTTTAAGATTTAAAAGTCGAGTGTCACATTTATCGATTGTTTTCTGTTTGTAGTGACTTTCTTGGAAATCGGTAAGAAAAATGAAGACAGAAGGCACCAACAGTTGATTAAAATATCGAATAAGATACCGAAATACAATATAACAGATTGAATTTGAGTTTAAAATATGCTAAGTTGCTATGGTTTACCGTGAGGTGTGGTTTAACCGTGCTCACCTACGAATGACGACTACAAATTCAGATCCAGGTGAAAAGTGGACTCCAGGACATCGTTCTTCAAGTCCCCAATCGCCATTTGTCCAAGCGTTCCGGACGAACATGTATTTACCTACGCTAGTCGTGTCTATAAAAAAACAAAATTTTTATCAATCGTCGAACGAAATACGCTCAATGGGGCATCACATGAGCTTAAAAGACACTAACTAGCGTATGAAGTTCAAGAGTCAATCTAGACAATAATAATAATAATTCTTATTGGAATGTCTATACATAATAAATATAAAAACGACAACATTCCAAAAGGAAAGAGGATTGGAACGGCCATTTTTCACCTCCGGCCAGTTTCATGAGCATTTATTTAACATCAACAGAGTGATAAGCATTAAAAAACAAATATTATGCACAAAACTGTATATAATACGATATAGTCTGAGTGTTAGTGGAAGATAGTGTAGCAACTGCTACGAATTTAATTTGTGGATTCAAATCTTTGTAGCTCTAGTAGCACTTTTTCCATCTCATTTCTGAAGTTTTGGATGGAAGGTGCTTCAAAAAGCTCTAAATAATTGTTCAAGAGATGTGGTGCCGTGTAAGTAAAACATTTTTTGAATTTGGACGTTTTATGAACTGGAATATTGAAACGGGCATTGTTGCTTAAGGAAACTTGGTGGAGTGGACATCTCTTCTCCAAAGAAATAAACAAATAGCTGGGTAATTTATATTTCAAAACTTTATACAGTAGAGTTCCATACTGAAGCAATACACGATTCTTGAATTTTAAAACATTTTCTTTTACTTAATATCCAGTAATATATTCTTGTTTACGTATATATTTGAAACAGAATATCATGCAGTAGTTTTGTAATACTTGAATTTTGTGCTTCATTTCTTCCGTAAGAAAATTATAATATACTATAGCACCATAGTCTAGATGAGTGAGGATTAGTGCATTGGTAATTCTCAATTTTATATCGCTGGTTAAAACGTGTTTGTATCTCCAAAGTGACTTATACAGGGTGACTTTGAGGTTGAGTCATTAATTTTCAGATAATGATTGTAGAAGGAAGATAAACCAAAATATGTGTGTAAAAATAAAAAAAAAATTAAAAAAAAATTTTACCTT